AAAAAAATCTTTGAAATTCTTCTGCTCAAGAGCAGCAAAGCCAGGATTATAGTAATATTGAATAATTTGATATCAAGCATCCTGAGGTAGTGAAAATTCATCCCCCCCCCCAAAAAAAAAACTTTTCAATACTAAACTGATTTCTGCTTTTCCCTAGCCAATGTGATCAGGAGGTGAGCGATGTGGCTTATGGGCCTCTTGTTTTGTTTTGACCTATAAAGCAAGAGAGATCTTTTTAAGTCATAGGCAGTTATGATATAAAATTTCAGTGCAAAAGCTCAAAGGGAGTTATCGTCTGGAAACCCTTATACTGTGAAATCACATATTTTCATAGGGGAAAATTGTACAGGTTTGAGGAAAAAATAATGTTTATGTGGGATTTGACTTTGTGGTTGGAGAAGGTTAAGTAGTCAAGTCTATGAAATTTTACATTTGGTGGTGGAAATAAATTTTTGGGTTTCTTCATACCTCGAAAAACTACGAAAGCCGGATAGGCTCAATTTTGTCAAGATAAATAAAAATTAACTCGTTATAACGAGATAGTTATCTCGTTATAACGAGTTAGGATCTCGTTATAACGAGATAATTATCTCGTTATAACGAGTTAGTTATCTCGTTATAACGAGTTAGTATCTCGTTATAACGAGTTAGTTATCTCGTTATAACGAGTTAGTTATCTCGTTATAACGAGTTAGTATCTCGTTATAACGAGATAATTATCTCGATATAACGACTTAGTTATCTCGTTATAACGAGTTAGTTATCTCGTTATAACGAGTTAGTATCTCGTTATAACGAGATAATTATCTCGTTATAACGAGTTAGTAATCTCGTTATAACGAGTTAGTTATCTCGTTATAACGAGTAAATTATCTCGTTATAACGAGTTAGTATCTCGTTATAACGAGTTAGTTATCTCGTTATAATGAGATAATTATCTCGTTATAACGAGTTAGTTATCTCGTTATAACGAGATAGTTTTCTCGTTATAACGAGATAATATTCTGAATAAAAATGGCTGTAGGTTTTAATGCCACTGAATTTTTAGCTAGTAATTATCAGTCAAATTCAACTTGAACAATTTATAAATGGTAGAAAATTTAATTTGCTCTGGGGTTTACTTATGATTAAATCTTGAACTATCTCGCTGTCAATAATCCTACTTTGATAAGTATAGCAACTCTAAGCGAACACATTTACACATTAATTCTGAACGCCTCCTCAAATTGTTGCATTAGAACCCGATATTTTTCTTAAAATAATATTGCCAAATATACTTGCTTCAAACTTTGGCAAATTATTTATGACAACTATTTCTGATGAATGACACTATTTCGACATGTTTTGGACGACTTATACACTTTCATATATCAATTTCTATTCCGCTAAAATTAAATATCAGAGACAATATAAGTGCAACATATCGTAGGCATTTATGCAACATATATATACGATTACAGTGCGATACATATGTTGTTTTTGAGATTCAAAAATATTTTGAAGAAGGGGGATGGTGAGACATCAGCAGTTAGATCATAGGCGTAGTAATGGGGGGGGGGGACTAATGTCCCCACCACCACTTTTGAAAAGGGGGCGGTCAAGAGTATCTTTGTGGCCCTTCCTCCATATTTTTTTTACCTGAGTAAATATCTCCCGAAAATAATGACGAATACTCGTAGCTGGGATATCAAATCTCTTTTTTTCTCTTAGCTTGTCAAATATTTTATTTGGTTTCACACCCCCCCCCCCCCCCCGAACTTTGTGACTAAGCTTATGCAGATTGTCCAAAATGATGAGGAATGATGAAGCAAAAATGATATTACGTCCTTCTAAGTAATATAAGACGTGAGATTTGATCTGCTGATATTGACATTTTACCTAATATTCTGTCATGATTCACTGTTTATATTTTTTGCGCGGGGGGGGGGGGGGGGGGGTCCAAGCTGTGGAGATTCACGTAGACCTATTTGAGATTTACGTCTATTTGGCGGATCCTATGTTTACCACATGGTGACAAAACATCACCAGAGTTTAGAACACGCAAAAAAAAGTTTACAGAGTTTACAAAGCCAGTTCACTTTTATAATCTTTTTAATTAGGATTGATCAACGAATAGAACTAATACTATACATGTATATTATTAATAAAACATTGAAGCAATGTCGTTAATTATTTTCCTCATCACAATATCACAATATTTGTTATGTATACTTTGCATGCAAGCATATAATTTTTATTTCAAAAAGAGATTGATGTTTTTTTTTTTTTTTGGGGGGGGGGGGAGGGGAGGGGGGTATAAATAGAGGATATTCAATGTTTTGTAGTTGATATGGAATTTATTTCAAGAGTAGGACAGGATTTTTTTTTTTATTTTCACGAGTGAAAATATCAAAAATCCTGTCTCACGATACAATACATATTTCTAGGCATAATTTATGCTTGAAATACACCTTAATTAATGCGTATCCTATTGTAAACTTTAGATATTAAACTTTCATTCTATCACAAACATGTCAACTGTTTCTACTATTGTCAAAGTGAGGCATGTGATTTTCCTACATGTACTACATTTCAGCCTGATGACCTTCATCTTTTTATTGTGGCTTCCGTAGAATAAAGAGCCCCAAAAGTTTTTTATTCTACCACATTGATGATTGCGCTTAAAATACATATTGTACATGAGATTTCATGCCAAATTGGTAAATTAAAATGTTTCTTTCTTTTAATAAACAAAAGAAATATATAAATTATTAAGTGATAAGTACAGTATTAGTTCTTGAAATTCATCATATTTATTATTGCGGGGAAGGAGGGATTGAAGATAAAAACAACGTGAATTTATTTTTTTTGTCAGACATTGAATTTTGATCTTGCCCTGCCCCTTTAAGGCAATAAAAATGAACTGGTATTTCTTAATTGTTAACAGGCAAGGAATTTCCAAAATGTGGACGTTAAAGCCTAACAAATAGTATCATATCGACATTAGTAATTCGGAATATATAAAATAATGGGATTATTTCTATGAATTTTCTATTGCGACAAATAATACGAAAAAATTATCATAATTTTAACATAGTCAAGAAAGCTTGAACAGGCCAGTTAAATCAGCCAGAATATATCATTTTTTTCTGATCTCCTTGTACAAGTTGACAACATTTTGACGTTATATCCATTCCATTTGAAGATGACACTAATTCTATTTTGCAATTTTAAGGTTTAACACAACAACATGAGGCGGTCATAAGTTTCCGTATATTTGTCTTCGGTCTTTTCAATGAACAATACTAATCAAAAGCATAACACAAAAACTAGTATACTGTTGTTCCATAAAATCTTTATCAGGCACACTTCAAATAAATTTGATCGACTCGCTTCTGTTTATTTCCTATAAATAATAGTACATGTATATTCTTTACTTAGATATATTAACTCTTTAGATCAATTTTTATCTCGTTATAACGAGATAATTATCTCGTTATAACGAGATAACTAACTCGTTATTAGGAAATGTTAACTCGTTATAACGAGATAATTAACTCGTTATAACGAGATAACTAACTCGTTATAACGAGATACTAACTCGTTATAACGAGATAACTAACTCGTTATAGCGAGATACTAACTCGTTATAACGAGATAATTATCTCATTATAACGAGAAAACTAACTCGTTATAACGAGATAATTATCTCATTATAACGAGATAACTAACTCGTTATAACGAGGTAATTAACTCGTTATAACGAGATAACTAACTCGTTATAGCGAGATACTAACTCGTTATAACGAGATAATTATCTCATTATAACGAGATAACTAACTCGTTATAACGAGATACTAACTCGTTATAACGAGATACTAACTCGTTATAACGAGATAATTATCTCATTATAACGAGTAACTAACTCGTTATAACGAGATACTAACTCGTTATTACGAGATAATTATCTCATTATAACGAGTTAAATATTTTTTTGTCTTGTCAAAAATGAGCCTATCCGGCTTTTGTAAAAAACAATGAAAAACCCACAAAAAAATTTGTGATTTTAAAGTTTGCAATATATTGATTTCTGACCTTTATCTTTTGATCTCAAAAATCAAGAAGGGTCTTGTTTAAGATGGGAAGTTATGATACAACACATCATTGCAAAATCTCAAAGAGAACTAGAGTTATCATCTGAAAACCATTTTAAGCAAAATATGAATTTATGACCTTGACCTCAATTTCAAGAGGGATCTTCTTTCATTCGATATAAAATTTCATAATAAAAGCTAACTGTCATAAGGACACTAAGAGTGTTTCATACAGACAGAATGGCAGACAGACCAAGATTAATATCCCCAGACTTAAAGTTAAAATGGGGAACAATAAACATGTTTTCATTGGCTCAAAAAAAATTTGAGTCTAAAAATTACAAAGCTTTAGTTTTCTCATTGCTTTTCAACTTTGTGATGACTGTGCCTTGCATTCATTTCAGTAATGGGTAAAGATATGCATGTATATGCTTTGGATGGACATGACTTTAGCTCGAAGGAACAAATAGGATACATATACAGTTGAACTTCGGTATCTCGAACAACGATATTTCAAATACCATGGATGTGTTGAAGTGATTTGGAAGTCCCAACCTCTATTTCTTTAAGAATTTTAACCTTGATATCTCAAATCCTCAGATATCTCAACGTTTTTTCTTGGTCCCATCGAGTTCGAGATAACGAGGTTTGACTGTATATGTGCAGCAGTGAACTAATTTCTGACCAGCATCATCAAGCTCAACCTGACTCACTCCTCCAATTCATAATTTTTGAAGAAGAGTTATTGCCAATTATATGTACCAGAAGACAATGCTTCATCATATACAGGTACATGTATAAGGAGAAAAATTCTATTAATAACTAATTTTAAATGCTTGAAGCAAAGTTCATCTGCCAATGTCAACAGTTTTGTCAAGTTTTGAAAGAATACAACCAACAAAGCAAATGTACAAAAAACAAGACCACTTTTTGCTAAATATGTTTTATTGGTTACTAGCACTAGAAGAGGAAGACACACTTGGCGGCATTTGACCAAACGATGTTCTGACAGGTTTATGTTGAGGTTTCTTACTGATTGAGTCATCAAAGGACTTCACAGACAAAGAAAATGTAGGGCCTGTCTTCCATAGTGTCTTATTTTCATCAATTACATCTGCTTGAATGTGAACAGTGTGTGACCCAGTTACAGGAAAGGTCAACAGGAAGTTCACAGAGAAATAGTCATTGTGAGGCTCCACACTCTGGCTCAGGTTGTTGGTAGTAACCAGTGAAATCTAAAACATAAATAAATGAGTGAAGCATATTAATTGAACCTAGCATGCTTTAAAGGCATGTTTTAAATACATAAACAGCAGTTCAAAACATACATTCATCTTCTTGTGATTTCACTTTTTTTTTACTATTGAAACTAATGCTTATATACAAATTACAAATGCTATACACAATAGCTAATATAACATATATAAATATATTGTCCAGTTACTGCATCCTATATGGTAGTAAAAAGATCTAAATATTGCTTATGCCAAAGCCCATGAATGAGAGTGCACAAATTATCTAGACTATAATGAATTTTTAAGCATGTAAATAATTGGGGCTAAAAAAATCCATGTCTCCCAGTTTCTACAGACTTTGTTCCTCCAATTAAATAATCTTCACCAGTAATAAAGAACTGTAGTTAGAGGTAAATAAATATGTCTCAATCCTTAAATCTGAGTGTAAAAAGCATACCTTTTGATCTGTGGAGGTTGAAGCTTTGTTTACGATTTCTGAACTGGCAGAAATTTGTACTTTGGCTACTTTTCGGAACAGATTTCTAAGACGCCCATGTTGTACAATGCCCTCAACTTTCACAGTCAACTGAGTGTCCTTGTGGACCTGAACAGGATCAAGAGCTGAGGACTGCTGGGGAGAAACTGCCAACTAAAACATGTCAAAATCAATGAATGAGGCCTATCATATTGGACATTTTCATGTCAAAATCAAATCCTGTCCATAAAACCTTTAAAAGGTAAAATGTATACTGTATACAAATTGTACATGTAGATTAGAATCTCCCTTCTTCCTCTCCTGTCCATATACGGTACTGTATCAGGGTTATTTTCGACATGTTATTTTTGCCCTTTCACACTAAGAAACAATTTTGACGTGTTTTAAATTTGCCCAGGTACAGTTGTGCTAATGAGAAAATGCTTCCTTCTTTTAATTCACCCCATTTTAAATTCACCCATTTTGACAAAGGCAATGGGGACTAAGATTTCCCTGTATACAGTGTATCATACTCAGATAGGGTTGAATACAAATTAGAAATGAACATGGACCTTTCATTACAATCTGGTTGCCTTGATATGCATAATCAATACCATGAAGCATGTGGTCATACTATGAAAACACTTTTAAGTGAACCAGGGATTTTGTTGCTGGTTTAGAAATATCCAAACATAACTTAAACAAGTGGTTCTTTTCTTTGTCTCAAGCATGTACTAAATCCTGCATTTGACCTAAATTTTATGCTTGAGTGTCTTGGTGAAGTGAAGCATTAAGGTCTAGTTACTGCATCAAGTGGTATACAAATCAAACCTACACACAGTGCACTTTTGAACAACTCCAGTGTAATTAACATTCACTGGTTTTAAATTTCCTAATGAGAAGGAAACTAAAACTGCAATAAAAATGAAACTGTATGCAAGCTATTGACAAACAAGTTGATAAAACAAGAATATCAACAATCTCATTTTGCAAGTTCTATGGTCAATACAATGACCTTGTCAGCAAATGTAATCTGTCATTAAGTCAAATGCTGACTGACATTTTTCTTACCATTTGTTAGGCCATTATTTACGCACTGAATTGTCAACAATTTTTTTCATATTTCCCGATTGTGACAAGGAGAACACAACAGTGTGACCGGTTGACAAGGGATGCATTCTCCTCCATGGCACCTGATCCCATAAATGGACTTTTGAGCATGATTACTGTTTGTTATCTCCATATTTCCTGTATAAACACTGATCCTTCTTACCTTTATATTAGTAGCCTGTAGTGTTTGAAAGAAGAACCTTGGATAGGTAAATGGGGTCTGTACTAATTTTCGCACACACTGACACAGGAAATCAACATGCTGAAAGTAAAAGCACAAATATTTGATTTTACATGTTCTGTCTGTCACTTTGGCTAATAGTCTATCACTGTTACATACAAAAGTAGAAAAAGCAGCTCATATTAAATTTTAAGTCAGACTTCTTTATCTTGAACTTAAGGAGACAGGGAAAAATAAATAAAAGATATCTGAGGACATGAGATATCAAAGTTAAAACACATGAACATAAGAAAAAGTGACTGGAACTTCCAGCTAACCTTGACATTTCTATTGTATTCAAGATATCAATGTTTGAGATACTAAATTTCAACTGTATTTTCATAACAGTGTACCTGGTTACAGTGAAAGTATGTTATGACAGATTTTGTACTGTATTTTTGGACTGTTTAGTTGTTTACCACATGTGTCAGTATGTTATGACAGATTGTGTAGTTTATTTTTTTTGACTGTGAAGTTGTTTACCATGTGTGTGTTATGATTTTGTAGTGTATTTTTGTTTTACTGTGTAGTTGTTTACCACGTGTGTGTTATGATTTTGTAGTGTATTTTTTTTACTGTTTAGTTGTTTACCACATGTGTCAGTCCTTCACTGCTCTGATTCTGAATGATGCTGTTGAGATCTCTTTGTATGGACTGAATTGTGACAGTTAACGTGTCTCTGTCTGTGGTTGTCAGTGCCCCAAACTGTAAATACCTGGAAATAAAGAAAATCAAATTTATAATTAAGGGACCTTCTACCATAATCCTAATTAATCAGGGGTCCAAATTTACCTATCTTTTGGAAAAGAAAAAAAATCCTGCCAATTTGTGCACCAGGTATGTGTAACCCACATGTTAGCTTGACGATGTGAACTCTATTCATATTCCTTTACTCATTCTAACATTGGAAATGAAAACCAAGTATATTTTCAAAGATTAAAATACATGTATTCAAGATGCATTTCATTTATGTTTACTTGTTTAGGGAAAAAAACTCCTATTACTTTCTTTTCTTTTGTTTGATTTAATGTTTGAGTTGTCTCAATAGTGATCTAGAGTATGTACTATATTTTTACACCTAAACTTCATTGGGTGGCTGTTCAGTCAGCATCCGGTTGTTCAAGGTGACAAAATCCAGCTATTGCTCTTTGAGCAATGAGCCTGGTTAAAAATGTCATGAATGCATGTCATAGCTAAAAAACAGTATAGTGATCAATATCATTCTGTGAGTATTGTTGCTCACCTGGCATGGCTACTTCTAATGAATGTCAAAATACAGGACTTGATCACCTCACAACTTTGCTGCAATCTAATTCTCAAGTTAAGGAATTGAAAAAATACTTTTACATGTTAAGGACATACGCAACGTACCTTACCTACTGATAATTTTTCTAGACATTCTTAATTTAAGATTTTAGTGCCATCAGATGTTTGTAGACAAAAATCAGCATGCATTACCATGGGTTTTGAAAAGATATCAATTGATGAAAATTCTTGTATAATTTTAAGAAAAATATACAAAAATTACTAAACATATATTCTGATGATTTGTTTATCAAAACTTGTTTTAGAAGAAGTGTACAACAGCATATATAGACATTAAAATGTAGTACACAGTTCCTTTAAGTATTGGAACTCTTCAACTCCAGGGAAAAAGACAATAAAATTCAAACTACGTTGCGTATGTCCTTAAATTACAACCAATGAAAAGAGCCCTTAGAGAAGTCAACTCTGGCTCTTTTAAACACTGCAAGTATTTGTGTCAAAATTTGACATGAGAAATATCAGAATTCTGTCCCTGAACCCTGCTTGAAGGTTGGAAGATAGTTCTGCCTCCTACCTCCAAGTCAGTTTTCAAAAGTTTACATATTTGAATGATTTTGCATATTTATATAGATATTTTTAGTTAAACCTCGTTATCTCGAAATCAATGGGAGAAAATTTCAAGATATCAGAGGAATCGAGATATCCAGGTCAAAATACTTAAAGAATAAGGGGTTGGGACTTCAAAATCACTATGACATATCCATGGTATTCGAGATATAAGTGTTCGAGATATCAAAGTTCAACTGTATATGAATTTTCACAAAAAATAACTTATTTGGGAAAATAAAGAGAGATAATCTATAATTTTTGTTAAACCTTGTGTTTTTCACTATAGAAATCAATGGAAAACAGAAAATATTTTTAAAACACTTTTTCAAAGCCAAATTTTTATTAATGTTCAATTAAATGGGTGTAAAATGTAGACGGGTAATCCAGATTTAGCATGACTGCATAGTTCTTACCATGTATATACTAATATACAGATTTGCTTGATAAAATCAAAATAAGTGTCCTTCATGTTTTTATTTGTAAACATGATGTTATAAGGATACAGAAGAATGGTGTGTAGAGTGTGATTGTCTGCATCAAACGCTGACTGATAAAGATCTGCGAACCTCTCACTCAGGGACTCGTACTCCTTCAGACACTTTCCCAACTGAAAAAAAAAACAAGAGCCCAATCGACAGTCACAGTCATATGATTATTACGAATTTCTATGACTTCCACCAGGGACTTGGAGATCTGGACTCATGACAAAAATTTTACAGTTTGGTGAGGAATCTTTGTGTATTATCACATTGTATGAAATTTGTCTCTGAGGTACTTTCAATAAGATTTTTAAAGATGAAATGGATTTTAAACATATGATCAACTGCTAAACAACAGTCTGGGGCCTGCCTCTAGAACACAAATGCAAATGTTTATTACATGGAAACTCACACATTGGGGTAACCCTTCATCAATTCATGAAGAAATCAACTTTACAAAATATCAGTTGGTATAAAACCACAACCAAGACTGAATACTAGCATTAGAGTTTGTGACATGGTTATTGATCATTTTGATTTATAACCAGGGAATATATATTTTTTTGATTAAGACAAAAGAAGATTAATTTCTGACCTGATTCAGTATTTGGCTGACCCTGGAGATTTCATGTCTGTTGGAGACAGCCATAGCTGTGGCGATGGCTGGTGGGGGACAGGTCCTGAACGTGTTACAGGTGTGGACCAGTTGTTGGTGTGTCTGTAAGAGCCAGATCCTCAGACAAACAAACTCACACTGAAAGACCATACTACCCACACCAGTAGAGGTCGCCTGTAATAAATAAACCAGAAGTCTGACGATACTCTTTTTTTTTTTTAGCTTTACTTTTAGCCCCCCATCCCCCCACCTCTGAATCAAATGGTCGTCCCCTAATACACTTGTGATTTAACAATGATATTCCTTAGTATTTCTAGGTAAATATACAGACCTAGACTATGAATAAAATCAATATAAATGCATACAGTAAAAAAAGATGCTTATAGCAAACACGCTTATAATGAATTCACGTTTATAGCAAAAAGATTTTCAATACCTGTGGCTTTCAAATACATAGTGAAGTTAACAGAAATAATGAATTATGTTTGTAATGAATCCACTTTCTACTATCGAGGGTAAATTACAATACGGGACTGCATTTTGACTTTGAGACATCTAGGGTTTATCAAGGCTGAGAGTTCAAGAAATCAAGAGTAAATCTGTTTAATTAGATAGGAGAAAAAAAAGTGGGACTGAAGACTCACTTTGAGAGATAATGAACTTTAAGATTTCGAAGTTTGAACCATCAAGAGTCATCTGTAGCTGTGAAAAGAAGCTGGTTTACAATATACTAACTCAGTCACTCCACAGAGAGGTCTTATAGCAGTAATACACAGAATGCCTATCAGTAAATTTCACAGACCTTTAATGACACCAATGCCCGTTGATATAAGACCAGCATTTCTGATACTTGTGACATCAGAATCTTCATGTTAGTCTCTGATTTGTCTACACAGGCCTCTGCAGCACAGATTCCATGAAGTCCTGTCAGCCAGAAGTAGTTATGCTCAGAGGCAACCTAGCAAAACAATGCTTAAGATTGTAAGAGTTACAATAAGCAATGTTTTACAGCAAGAGATAGAATATCCATTAAGTTTAGATTTGTTTCTATTTAAAATTTGATAGGTTTCTCCCCCTCTCTAAATTTTATGATCATCTAAAATCTTTTAAAAAAGAACTGGAAATGAAAGTAATGTTTATAACTGTCTTAATGGGACTAATACCCTCAGAGGGGCAACTGTGTCACCCTGACCTTGTCCAAATTACCCTCAATGAGGTTCAGGATACCCTTCACTTTACAGGCAAAACTTGTCTTAAATATAATCTTCTATATTTCAAAGTTAAGGCTAGAACAATTATCAAATAATTTTGTACCCTGTGACCTTGACTTTTTCCAAATGACCATGGTATAAGGTCAGGACAGACTTCTGGTCACAAGTTACCTTTGTATGAAGTATAAGTTGCTAAAGTTTCTCAGTTTCAAACTATTAAATTTGAAACAGAATTTTACTCTTCTTATTCCAGTCACAAAAGTTACGTTAAAAATTCAAAAAGCAATACCCTTTTTTCTTTTTTTTTTTAAATTTGACAAATAAATCTGAAAATATTTGGTGCAAAAGTTTAAATAGTATATATTTTTCTACAAAATCTAAAGAAAAAATATTGAGTTTTAGAGATGACCTCTGGATAAAAATGACTATGGAGAGATATATGGAACAACAGACTGACAGTTAGAGTGATTCTGAGGAAGGAAGGGTTATAATTCTTACATGTTGTGCAAGATTATGAAATATCTCAGATGCTATCCGATACTGTCCATATCGCATGCCTTGTCTACCAACTTTGTATCCAAACCAATCATCCATGGCCTTAGAAACACACTGAAGTATCATACTCTGGATATGTAAGGGAATGGTGTCTCCTCCAGCCACTTGAAAAAAGACAGTTCCCAGATACAAACAACACTGAAAATAGAAAATGCAGATGTGAATACAAGTACATGTACTTTCAAAAGCAGAAATGGCACACCACAATATATAATATATGAATTGTTTTAAAAATTCAATTCAATTTTATGTACAAGTAATTTGAAACTATAATTATACTTAAAACAAGGCACAACTATTATAGGAAAATTCTATCAGATATCTGAATAGTAAAAGGCATGAAGTTTCTTATATTGGTAATACAACATACTGAATATTGTTTCTTCTGTGGAAGACACAAGTGAACACCAATCTCTAGCTGATGTTTTGCTATTTTACCTCTAGTTAATGTTTTGCTATTTCATATCTAGCTGAAGTTTTGATATTTTACCTCTAGCTGAAGTTCTGTTATTTTATATCTAGCTGAAATTTTGATATTTTACCTCTAGCTAAAGTTTTGTTATTTTATATCTAGCTGAAATTTTGATATTTTACCTCTAGGTGAAGTTTTGGTATTTAACCTCTAGTTGATGTTTTGTCATTTTACTTCTAGCATATATTTTTGTTCTCTTACCTCTAGCTGAAGTTTTGCTATTTTATCTCTAGCTGAAGTTTTGATATTTTTCATCTAGCTGATGTTTTGTTATTTTTCATCTAGTTGAGGTTTTGTTATATTAGCTCTAGCTGATGATTTGTTATTTTTACCTCTAGCTGATGTTTTATCATTTTACCTCAAGTTGATGTTTTTCTTATTTTTACCTATAGTTGATGTTTTTGTAATTTTTACCTCATGCTGATGTTTTGGTATTTTACCTCTAGTGGATGATGTTTTATTTTCCTTATTGCTGATGTTTTAATTTTACTTCTAGCTGATGTTCTATTATTTAACCTCTAGTGGATGTTTTGTTATTTTAAAATCATTAACTGATGTTATTTTCTCTCTACATGTACCTGATGTTTTATTATTTTACAAAACTGTACCTCTAGCTGATGTTTTGTCTTTTAACATCTAGTGGATTGTTTGTCATTTAATCTCTAACTGATGTTATTTTCCCTCTACCTGATGAATTGTTATTTTACCTCTAGTTGGTGTTTTGTTGCAGCTTTAGATGACAGGTTCTGGAAAACTTGAAGTAGTTGACCAAGATTATCTTCAACCAGCTGATGGTTGGTAGACCCCAAGGCAGCTAGACATTCACAAATTTTGACGCAGTTCTCATCTAATCATAGGAAAACATAAGCCATCTTAATTCATACTTGAGAATTGAACCCTTGAGAATTCTGAAATGCATTTATATTTTAATACAGTAAAACTCGTTTAGTATGAACACGGATGTAGTGAATCCATGGATATAGTGAATATTTTTGGAATCCCCGGCAAAATTTTTAACAAATCCTAGGAAAATATTACGGTTATAATGAACTCTGATATAACGAATTTACGGATATAGCGAACTGATTTTCTGTCCCGTAGAGGTTAAAAATAAGGAAAATTCCATCTTGTATAACGAATTTTCAATATCTTAAACTTCAAAATATTAAACTGACATTATTGTTTATAAGTATTTAGATTTGAAATTCCATTCCTCAGAAATATTTAGAACCCCAAGTATAATTTTGTATCTAATACCTCCCAGAACATATTTGGTAGTCATACTTGAAGGAAAAGATGCATATTGCGACTTGGTTATATATACTTTAACGAATTCGACTTTGTTATATATACTTTAACGAATATATTAAAAAGATATAATGAATTATGGATATAAGGAAGTAAATTCACAGGTCCCAAGGACTTCACTATAACCGAGTTTTACTGTATCATGACAAACTTAAAACATTTTGAATGTACAATCAAATCTCGTTGTCTAAAACTCAATGGGACCAAGAAAAAATGGGATATCCACAAGTTCATGATACTGAGGATAAAATACATAAAGAAAAAGTGGAAGGGACCTACTACTCACTTAGACATACATGTACCCATGGTTTTCAAGATATTGATGTTGGAGATATCAAAATTCAAGTGTATATACCTGATGCAGATTCCAGAAGCTGTGTTAATTCCATTACAAAGGTTTCACCAATTTCTGGGTAAGTATTCACAAGATTTACAAGACATTTCAGACAACACTGGAAAAAACAGATAGAAACAAGTGAAAACAAGCAATAAATATACTTAACTCATGAACAAGCCATCTTATAATAAGTGTCAACAGATACCACAAAAGAAAACAATACTCTATACATTGAGTCTCGTACACTTCTTTATTAATAAAAGTTTTTTTGAAATTTAACTCCATTTGATCTGCAACACTAAAGATGTGGGATTGAATTATACCTTTTTTGCAATTATGTAAATGTATGATCTGCAAAAAACAACCACAAAACTACCCATGATTCCCTACTACTCATAACCTTGTATAAAATAAGTTATTATTTTTACGAAAATGGAATGGTAGAACAGAACAGAAATAATGTATGCTTACCAGTAGAGCTTGCTTGTCTTTAAGCTCCTGACTCCATACAGAGATACATATCTGTGTGGTTATAGCCAGTCGAGCCCCTTCTATCAAATCCTGTTCTACTTCTATCATACAGGCCTCTGAAACACAGAGTACAAAACTCTTATGTTATCTGCAATCTCATTAAAAAGAATTAAAGCATTTTCTAAAATTTGAATTGAAGTTTTTCCTTTTACATGAAATAAACAACATTGCTGAATTTGTTAAAAATATCCTTTTTTCAGATCAGTTCTGATGATTAATAACAAACTTACTGCTTTTCTTGTAAGCAACAGCTACATTGGAGTAAAATTCTATAGCTTTACTGGACAGGACAGCATCCTGGGTCTGATAGCAGATATTACAGACTTCCAGAACTTTCTGAATATCTGATATTGTCACTACCAAAGAAAAATAAAAGGTATTTGATGTTTGAATAAATATTAAATTCATTTAAGACTTTCCAACAAATTCTTTATTCAAGACTTTTCTCTTTCAGTTTTGAAACCACAATTGTACATAAATATAACGAGTCTTACTGTCTCTGTGGAGAAACATCTGGAAAGCAAATGAGGAGGACAGGGAGGTCAACACCTGGAGAGACGCCCACTTCAACAGGAAGGAGGGACAGGAAATAGCAAAGGTCAGTAACTCCTACAGAACACAACAGAGTAGGAGATGAAAATTGCTTCTTACCTCTTTTCACTCTATCAATCAATCTTATTGATAAATAATCAATTGATATCTACCTCAACAGAGTTGTATTTCCAGAGTTGGGGAGATTTTCTGGCTAGCAGATTTAGGCTTCTTAGGGACATTAATTTTACACTGTTTCTTGGATCAGTTTTGAGATGATGTATCAGAAGTTCTATCTGGCTGTGTACATCTCCTAGTGACCTCACTGCTAAATGGGTCAAGGTCTCCAGGTTTAAAGTCACAAATTTTTCAGCTGGGAAAGTGGATAGCAAATGAAGACAAATGCCTCTTGCCTGAAAAGAAATCAAAATATATGCAAAACTAGCCTGTAGTAGATGTGTACAATATGTACATGTTTCTTTTAATATACATCTCAGCATAAAATTCTTGGAGCTTACCAACCCATAGTCCTGTTCAAATTAATAATGTTTCATTTGAGAACTTTTTAAAATTTTCTTCATTAATGTGTAAGTTGCAAAGACAATTTAACTGTAAATGTACTTATTCCTTCTTGTTAAACTTGAAGATATAAAACAGATCACCAACACTTTGTGAGAATGCAGTAGTGAATTTATTTTGTTGACCGGTTTTGACCAGAGACGGTCGTCATCAGAACAATCAAGCATGTAAATTTATCTATTGAAGTAAAAAATGTGGATGACGTTGCTATAAACACAATAAAATGTGGACTGTTTTGTACATATGTTGAACTGCTTAACAACAGTATTTTATACAAGATGTAATCAGTTTACGTTGTCTCTAGGGCTTTTTCTGACTTAAGATTTAGTAAGTAAATTAAATAATTGTTTTTTATGATTAATAAAATAGTCCATAAATTCTGTGGATCGTTATTCTTCTGTTTTGTCATCTTTGTTGCAGTTCAGGCTGTTTCAGTATAGACTGTGACGTCACAATGTAAAAATTACGGGAGGTTTGTTCTTGTTAAAGGAAAATGCTACCATTTGTTTGATCAAAATGGCTAGAAGAGACTCGATTTGGGAAACCTTAGAGGCAAAGAGACTGGATACACTAGCTAGTAGTAAACTGGATTCGATATTACTTATATTCCTTATTAATAAGAAACAGAGTCTACAGGAACTCCTTATCTACCTTGGCTGCAGTAGAACTGTCGTGATACATATTCTTCATTATGGGGATCAACTGTAGTTTGAGGTGTACTGGAGTGGCAATATCCTCAATCATTTCAGCTATCTTACTACAAATATTGGCTGCAAACACTCTGAAAACAAAATCCAACCATTTAAAAATATCACAATTATCTGGGAAACTACTTTAAAAAAAATCTCAATGAAAAGGCTTTCTTCATAAGTTTTCACTTTAGTAGCCCAATGGTTGTTGAGAAGAAAGAGACTGTCAAATATAAACCCCATACATTTTTTAATTTTCTTAGTTATCTCCCTTCACAAGAGTCTAATGTTTCATTTCAACTAGCCTTTGTCCGAGGATGCCTTGCACATATTTGTGACATAGTGGTTCAGGACAGGAAGATAAAATTGAAAAGTTAAAAACAGATTAAAAAACACCACACAGATGCAATGCATGCTTCAGTCAGAATAGTTTAACTACGCATTTGGCTCACATAAGCTAAAAACATCTCAAAACTTACTTGGACTTTGCAGAAAATTTATCTGCAGCAAATATAGCTGCATCTACTTCCACTGCATCATGTGAGTCCAGACCATTGACAACACTATGGTGAGCATTCTTCCTCTCTGATATAATACAGGCAATACTTCCCAGTGTTCTATAGCAAATAGTTAGACAAAGTCAGTGGAAATACTTCTAAAATCTCAAAAAAATTATTAAATCTTACTTGAAAATTAGCTTAGATAAATTAAAATACACAGATACATGTACATGTAGTAAACCACATGGTGATTTATACACATAGTATTATAACCAATAAAATTGTTAAAATTTATAATTAATATATAACTTTTATAACTGTTATCATAAGATTTTCTTTCATACCTGATAGCAAGAGCCCGAGCAACAGAGTCATTACTGTGTATGACTGTGTAAAGCCTCCTTACAAACTCGTCTACATTGAACACTTTGTCCAGGTGTTTGTCACTTTGCTGAATCACCCGAAGAATGCACCATCGCAATAAATTATTCCTAGATTGAAAAGATGAAATGTTGAATTTACATTTGCAATTCTTCATACTAAAACAAACCTATGTCTTCAAAAATAGTTACTTGATCTCCACAATTTAGGCAAGAAAAATTTTGAAAACTCACATCAGAGACTCTACCATCTTAAAACATCATTGTTTCCACTTCTTTTCTATGATGCTCCATTCAAAACTACATTATTTTTTTTTATTTGAAAATAATCACTTACCCTTCTTTAAATACATCAGCAACCCTAAACACATCGGCAAGCTTTAGAAATGCAGAATTGATTATAATGGGAAAGGGGTATTTCTCAAACAATCTTGGGAATTTGACTACTGCTTCACATTGCACTCCAAGCTTTGCTGACCTCAATCCTGAAAGCATAATATATGTTGATTTCCCTTTAAATGAATAAACTGTAAAACATACCTCGAAATTTTAAATAATTATTAACACCTATAACATTTTTATGCTAATTTTCGGTAAAGGCAAAATGTTCAACATCCAGTAGAAAAAAAAATCAATGACAAAAAAAAAACAAACAAACAAAAAAAGCAAGGTGTGTTTGTGAAACACTGATGCCCCCGTATGGCAACTTACAGCAAAGGTTAAAATTTCTCTGATGCAAATAAAATATGTTGACACCCAAAGTAAGGTCTTGTCTAGAGGAATATACCTGTGAAATATGAAAGCCCTAGCAGCAACCATTGAATAGATATGGAAAAAGTTAACGTTTTTTCAAAAGTATGTCAAACATCAAGGTCAAGGGTAAATGGTCAAAATTAATGGTGCCCAAGGAAAGGGCTTCTTCCAAGAAATACACAGGTGAAATATGAAAGCCGAAGCACCAATCATTCAAAAGTTATGACCAAGGTTAAAGTTTTTCCAAAAGTAGGTCAGACGTCAAGGTCAAAGGGTCAAAGTTGTTCATATCAAAAGAAAGGTCTTGTCACAAGGATTACATACGTGAAGCATGAAAGCCCTAACACCAACCATTCAAAAGTTATGGCCAAGGTTAAAGTTTTTCAAAAGTGGGTCAAACTCCTAGGTCAAGGTCAAAAGGTCAAAGTTGTTGGTATCCAAAGGAAGGTCTTGTCACAAGCATTACACACGTGAAGTATGAAAGCCCTAGCACTAATTGTTCAAAAGTTATGGCCATGGTTAAAGTTTGGTAAAATTTTGCAAAACTGGGTCAAACTCCAAGGTCAAGGTCAAGTATGGTGGTACCCAAAGAAAGGTCGTGTCACAAGGAATACACATGTGAAATATGAAAGCCATAGCTCCAACAAATCAAAAGTTATGGGCAAGGTTAAAGTTTTTACGGACAAAAAGACGGACGGACAGGGAAAAAACTATATACCCCCGAATCTTCGATACGGGGGCATAAAAAAACAGAAATGACTTTAATATTCAGGTGCTGCATTTGAAGTCGATAATGAATGCATCATCAGGTTAATATAATGCCATAATTAGGGTTGAAAAAACCTTTCTCCAACTCAAGAAAAGCAGTATTAGCATCTTGTTCCTGATCTACAGAGCTGGATTCCTTGTACAAAGCTGTAACACTGTCCAATTCGCCACTTCTCCGGTACAAGTGACTTGCCATACTTTACCGGCTTTTCTCAGTGCAGTTGTACGTAAAATTACTCGTTCTATATAAAGATATTCATAAACATGTACATTAATAAATAAGAGGTTTCTAAAGTCTTAGATTTAAACAACAATAATGTTTAATAATCACCGTACTCAATTCGAATAATACTGTAAGAGAATTTAATTCATCATTGAACAAATTAACTCTTGCTGGAAGGGGGAAAAGTCACATGACAATCAAAATGGCAGACAATGTGAAAAACATATCAGCTTTGTTAACGGGATTAGCCAAAAGAAATTACTACAATGAATCTGAATACACAGATGAGTTTTTAAAGAGTCAGATATTTCCGGATTTGGCTGACGAAGAGTATGCATTATTACTCAAAAGATGTTCAAGTTACATGAAGGTTTGTGATGTTGTACTCCAGCAACAAACATATGCACTTTAAATTGTACCTGCTGCTTTTAACAAGTTTAATGTTCAGTCCAACAGAATAACATTAGTTGGTTGATATTGTGATATCTGTGTATTTTACCTTTGATGATAAATTTATAACCAGTTAAAGTCCTGATCAATATTTTTTTTCAGTTTAGCTATCAACCGATCACGACAGATTGCAAATAATGAACAAAACTTCTTGAAACACTTCTTTTCACATTTTGTAAAGTAATTAAAAAAATCTTTTGAATACTTTTTAGTTGAAGTTGAAAACTCAAAAAGGCCTAATCATTCACTCCCACTCAAAAGCACATCAAAATATTCAGCATGCACCAAATTCTAAAGATTTAAATTCAATAGGTTTACTCATAGTTTTTATGTATATAAAATTGAGGTCTGACCAAGTGAATGAATGCCCATATCATCAGGTGAAATTCCAAAATTATTTTGTCTTGACTTGATCCTGAAATAAGATTGCTCCTAGACAATTCTGGTTAATGTCCCAATATTTTGCCCTTTTCTTACCACAATTTTTTTTTTAAATATCAAAAAGTAGCTTTGAAAAGCTTTATCATTAGTAGATAGAACATTTTATCAGTGACGAAATGTTATATGGAACTTGAAAAGACCTGTCACTAGATAGATATTTCAAAGTATACCTATTTCCACAAAAAAAAGGGGGGGGGGGGTGCACTGGTTCTTCGTTTTACTGCATTGTTTAATAGAGCCATGATAAGAATATGACAATAAACAAGATACTGAATATCAATGGTACAAAACTTTCTTCCCCATTTCCAGAGTATAGTATCAGCTGATATGGATTTCAATCAATTAGAAGCATTTTTAACTTCACAAATGAAGAGGAGAGAGGCAGCAATGTCAGAAGAAGAAGCTAGTGCATATAGGAAATTCTGGAAAGTACATAAGAATAAAATTCATGACACTTTGGTCTCAAAAACAAATTGGAACAATACCCTGAAAAAAGTGTCATGGCGTATTGATGTCAAGTCACAAGCTAAGAATACAGAAAATATGAATGAACCAACTGCTATAGTTGAACTTCAGATAGAAAATCCTCAGGAATCACAGGTATTTTTGGGATATCTGCTATAATCATGTAAATTATCATTTATCCCTTAATTGACACTTAATTTTCCTATTTAAAGACAAATCCTCGGGTATATATTTCTTTCTCTTTTTTTTCAGAAGGCTGATGTTGTGCAGTTTGAAATGGATGAAAATAGGTTAGCATATGTCCTGCAAAATATGAAAGACATTGAAGATCAAATAGTGCAATACTGCCAACAATAAAATTGTCAATTTGAAAAATATTCTCAAACATCACACTGCTATGCCAAAGAAATCTGTTCAACTTACACAGCTCACACATTGCTGTAAAAAAGTGAGCATTTGATTTTCAAATAGTGGCAGCTATAGAACAAGCTTTCCAATACATGCTGGTTGAATTATTGCAAATTCCAACATCCTGAACTCAACCATTGTTGATGCAACACATAAATATATCACAGTATAACATTATTATGCAGATATTGAGAGATAAAAAATAAAACCAATATCAGAGCTACAAAGCTTATTAATTTTATTTATCTTTTGTTTATGCAATAAAAGAAAACTAAAACACTTGGATTTACAAATGTACACGTGTTTACATGAGACTGAAATGGACAGAGTATGCTACAAAATGTTCATGATTGATGAAGTTTGTTTCAGATGAAACCCAAAAGAACAATGCACAGTTTATGTCACAATTAAAAGTGTCAATGGTTAAGTCCTCTTGTATAACACAATCTCCTTTGACGTCACCCATATACATGATATCCTCACCAAGCAGTTGATTAGATCCTCCCCATACTTCAGATTAGATCAAATCTGCCACTGTAAAAGAGAGAAAGCATGCTGAAATCATTATTCAGTAGTTCCAGTCAGCCCATTAAATGGTCTTCAAAAATTTGATATAACAATATCTAAGCACAAGAAAATCCAATACAACCATAATCTTTTCCACAAAATAATATACCCTTGTAATATTAAATACTTTTTCATTCCTTTGTTGTGGTATCACATTAGAGAGTGTACTTATTGCATTTTAAATTTAAATATGTGTTCTTACAATTGAATTCTCTTAAATATTATTACAGAAATGCAATGTGAAACTATCAGAAATGCCTGTTCTCCACTAATAGCATTTAACTATTTTTATATAATTAGTTAAATCCACGTAGAAACTAACCGTTCATTGGCATTTCATCAATTTGTGTGGCATAGTACTGTTCAATGTCTCTCAAGATCCTGATATCATCATTCTTGACAAAGTTAATGGCCACACCCTTACGTCCAAATCTACCTGATCGACCAATTCTGCAAAACAAGAAAAAAGGCATATTTAAAACACTCTATCAGTCATGCTCTGCATCTAAAGCTATTATTTATTCAAAGGCTCAGATTAGGGATCTGTATTTTCATCAAAGATATTAAGAAATGAGGTAAATGTGAAATCATCAGAGCCCTTAAACTTGATGTAGTGTCATAGTTTGACTTCTTTTGAACTGTGAAAAAAAATGCATCTCAAAAGATCTAGCAGGCATAATGGTGATTAATAATTATTGGCGTACCTGTGGATGTACAATTCTCTGTTGTTTGGGAGGTCATAGTTTATGACAAGAGACACTTGCTGTACATCAATGCCTCTGGCCCACACATCTGTTGTTATTAACACTCGACTGAAATTAACAAAATACATACTTCAGAAACAATTAGAACTGAATGATGACGTAAAAGATAGAAGGCATTTTCAACAGTATTGAGTACTGATCAACAGGAATGACGTTGATGTTATTATTACCTGGCCCCCGAGCGGAATTCTTTCATGATGGCGTCCCTCTCCTTCTGTACCATGTCACCATGCATGGAGGATACGGTGAAGTTGGCCTCCCTCATCTTCTCTGTTAACCAATCAACCTGTCAGATATTTAGTACAAATCATGCACAAAAGGTTACAAAACATATGCCATACTCATGTTCCATCCTTAAAAAACTTTAAGGTGTTCAACCTTCAGCTACAGTCACAATAAATGTCAAAAGTGTGGGTGAACCTAATCAAATTCAAAATATGAACGCATTTACATAAAATACCTTGAATAAAATTGGACAATGAATAAACAGAAGAAAATTGTTATCCACACAAAGTGATTTATTTGCACAAATAAATGAATAATTCATTAATATTACACTGTAATGAACACAATTGAATTAACAACATATATTTAGAAATCTTAGTATTTTGTTTGTAGTTTGTCTCTCGAGAGAAGTTTTCACTCATATGGAGACGCCACCACTTGCCGGTGGAGAGCTGCAAATTTTGACCTATACTCAGCACTCAGGGCATTTGAGCAGTGAGGGATCTTTTTCGTGCCAGCTTTTACTGTGACATGAGACCTCAGCTTATACGGTCTCATCCGAAGGACCAGTCTCCACGTCCCACGGTGGGATTCGAACCCGCGACATAAGGATCAACTCCTTACTCCGCGACTCTAGAGCAGACGCTCTAATCACTGCACCACGCTGGTGACAGAAATCTTAGTATTAATATAAATGAAAATATTAATAATAAGATTTCTAAGTATATGTAGTAAATTCAATTATGTTCATTACAGTGAAATATTAGTGAATTATTACATATACAAGGAAGTCTCTCTTTCAAAAAAAAAAAAAGATCCATATAGATACCTTTCTCTTTGTGTTGCAAAATATGACTGCCTGTGTGATGGTAAGAGTATCATAGAGGTCACACAATGTATCAAACTTCCACTCTTCTCTTTCAACAGCAACAAAGAACTGTTTGATTCCCTCCAAAGTCAACTCATCACTGGAATTTACAAAGATCAATTTAATTGTTGTTATACTTCCGAACATTTACAAGAATTTCATAAATGAACAAAGTTTACATTGCATTTGTACTTATTTACATGTAAGTGTATTCAAACACTGGTGTATTTATAGGCCATGGACTAATTACTAATATTGAATTACTATGAAATAGCATTACAGACCAAGGAATAATAATTACTATGAAAAAGTATTATCAACCATTTATGTACAAATATACGTTGATGCCAATCTAGAATTGGCACACAGAAAACAGTGAAAAAATGAGCCCTTTATGAAAAAGGAATAAACAGTATTAAAGTGAGTTCCTCATTCTATTTAGGAAATTTGATAAAAATTCACTTCAAACTGTTAACCTTAATATGATTTTTCTTTTTGTCTACAAGTCAAAAATACATAAATATCTTGTATTGAATACCATATCAAAATGTTCAAAACTCGTGGTTTCGAAAACATCTGTGTATTTATATTCAAACAACTGACCGTTTGACCAAGATTCTAATGGGGTCTGTCATGAATTTGTTGGTCATCTCAAGGATCTCGTGTGGGAGTGTAGCAGAGATTAATACGACTTGCGTAGCTGGAGGGAGGTATCTGTACACATCATAGATCTGCTCTTTAAATCCTGTTTGTAACAAAAAGAATGACATTTGTAAGAATGCTATAAAAAGAATTCAATCAACACAGATTTGCTATTTTGTTTTGAATGAGAACATACTGTCAAATAAAAAAAATTCTTTAATAACTTCTCGATCATGTCTAGCATTTTCTGACTGATTTTACATAATGAAATTTTACAAATGATTGCACACTTGCAAGTTTCATTTATAAAAGGCAACTCACCTTTATTTAACATTTCATCTGCTTCATCAAACACCAGCATTTTTATGGATCTTGTTCGGAGATTTCTTCTTCTTATCATATCTGAAACATTGTACCTTATGTTATATAAAGAACATATTCAGCACACACTTAAAAGAAAAAACTGTACTTTTTACTAAGAAATCATTTTTTAATATCTACATGTATAATAATAATATTAATTCTGCGTGTAGGAAATTTTGTTGATGAAAAGGTCTGCCTCTGAAAAAAGATAGAAATAGCCTTGGAAACTGTTCTGAATGTCATAGAACTCAGTACATGTACATGTATATACCAAACACTCTTCCTGGTGTTCCAGAAACAACATGTTGTCCATAGTCCAGCTTCCTGATGTCTTCTCCAATGTTTGTACCACCAATACAGGCATGGCACTGCACACTCATGTAATCTCCAAGGGCGAGGATCACCTACAACGTACGACAAAATTAATTGTTTGATAAATGTATGACTATATATAAAATTATTAATTTTCAATGTCTTTTGTGGAAATAAAACATAGGAATAAAACAAAGATTTAAAGACTGTGCTTATGTGATGAATATACTGATTTAAATATTGAGCTAAACGTACTTTGGTAATCTTTGCTAGCCAAGGGCCTTCTTTCTGCTCCACTCCCCATAATGGGAGCAGAGAAGACTACATGAGTGGGCTGAAAACCCTTGACTAGGGAAGATGTACCTGTGTGTAGATATTATTCTTTTCAATAAGATGCATTAAGCTTTGATACCTTCTGAATTTGAACTGCTAACTCTCTGGTTGGGGAGAGAACAAGAGCTTGTGTTTCCCTTATCTGTGTGTCCAAACATTGTAGAATGGAGATCGAAAAGGTGGCTGTCTTTCCTGTTCCAGACTGTGCCCTGGATTCATATATTGAAACTTTTAAATTTTATTACCTTTAAAATCAAAGACTCAATAATATACACTTATGGATTAAAGAAAATGTGTGGAAATCAAAGATTTTCTTTTCTTATGTATTATATAATAACTGTTTTACTATGATTCCTGTCTTTAAAGTTTGTGAAACATAAAGTAATAGGACATCCAAAATCTGGGGAAAGTGTGTTTTTTAATCATAGCTTTGTTTATTCCGTTGTTTTAGATTCAAATAAATTTGTTCATGGTAAAATTTTTGCACCAAATTTCCGTATTGATATAAAAGTAAAGATTTGGGGAGAATGAAAAAATAAGATTATTTTCTGATAGATATGTGTTTTCGAATAAATAAAACCTGTATAAGCTGTTCTAAAAACTATTTTATAACATTTTTTGAGTATATTGCCCTAGATATCTCAAATCCTTGGATATCTCGAAGTATTGTCTTGGTCCCATCAAGTTCAAAATAATGAGGTTTAGTGTATTTTATAAATCAGTTTAGCCAGAGTCCATAGAACATAATTTGACTTTTTTACTTCGTGTAAAGTAATTCTATTTATGTAGTTTGATAAAGTCTGTTCTTCTTACCTGTCTTCTGCAGACTTAATATGAGATGTAAACAGAAGACTGTACAGTCAAATAAATCTAGCCAATGACGTGATCTTCAATGATATTAAAGAGGTTTAAATGTGCTGATCTAGGGTTCATTTGGGATGTACATTGTAAATATATATTCTGAACTGCATGTTTGTCACTTAAATTATTCTTATACCAATACTCCGACCTGAATGTTGAAAACCAATTCAAAATGTGCACATATTGGTGGTAATTAGTGGGGTGATAATAACAGTAACAAACAGATTTTTTCCTGAAATACATTGGCGGATGGCGATAGGTGGGGGAAGAGCAATAAAATAAGGTTTTATATAATATAGAGAGGAAAATAGGACTTCAGAGTTTTTTGGCAGTAAGAGGGGGTGGCATTATAATGGGAGAGGGGTTTAACACGGGAACACTATAGTTCACATCTCCATTCTGGCTAGTTAGTAGTTAGAGGGTTCCATAAGAATTACTTATATATAGTCCACAATTGAGTAAATTTTAAAAATTCAAAACAATATACAATTATTTACAAGCATCATCAGTATAAATACTTCATATACAAAGACTACACAGTCCAGTCTGACACTGCTCTACATTTATAACAATGTCAAGAATAGGGATATGCTATTTTCATCAAAGTGATTTTCAACTTTTTTTAGTGTCTTCTTAATTGTACACACCACTGAAAAATCGTTTATACCAATTTCAAATCAATGAATGATTTAATTACTTTCCTGTCAATTTTTGAATTTTTTTTTTAATATTTTCATTATCTCTCCAATAAGAGATACTAAAGATTTCAGAAAAGGAAAACAGTTGATTTATTTTTGAAATATTTAATTTTTATTGAGTTTGACCTATTTAATAAAGAAAATAATCTTTTTAATCTGAAAAATTTATTTAAAATTTGTTCCATTTGAACCCTGGGCTGTGCACGCTATCTGAGACCTTTAAAGACCGTGATTTTTACAAAAATATTAAGTTCAAACAATCAAAACCAAACTACTAGTATTCTGACTTGGATCTTCACAACAAATATTTTGGTATACATTAAGTTTATCTATGACCATTCAGTTTGATAAAAACCTCATTGTCCATGAACTATATGGATAACCCTCATATATCAAAATAAGTAATTACATCTGTCAGAGTTTGAAGCTTAAATATCCAGTCTATCCAATACGATTACTTACTGTGCAATGACATCTCTTCCCTTTACTATTGGTTTAATTGATCTTTGCTGAATGGCTGATGGCTTTTCAAACCCTAAAAAAAAGCATTCACTAAAAAAAATGCAAGGATTATACATCATGTTAAGCATTGATTTCAAATCTATGAAAAATCATTTCAAACAATAATCTGCTATACTGGTCTTGGACAGAATATCTTTTTATACATGTATTTGATTAACTAAAAAGTTGATTCAATTATTACCTCAGAAAATATTGTATGTTATTGCAATGAAACTGTTATCTGGAAGAACATTATACAGTGAAACTTGTCTAATCCGGATGTTGTGTAATCTGAAATCTTACTTAATACAATGTTAACGTTAAGACCATTTCAGTAAATTCATTTGTTTAAAATATTGTCCAATCCGGAATGTTGTCTAATCTGGCTATTTCCTTTGGCACCAGTGGTGTCCGTATTAGACAAGTTTTACTGTATCTAGTAATAAAAATATCTGAAGAGACGACTTCCATGTTTACAATAGTTATTTCCCTTTGCAGGGGTCAATCTGGGGTCAACGGGCATAACCCACTGTTTTCTCTCTATAATATTAAGAACTTTATGGGGCAGTGTCTTATAAATTAAATCTGTATGTATAATAATAATTATGTTCATTATGTTTTCTTTGATGTCCCATACTATGGCAATACAGGAACAGTACAAAATTGTCCGAAAGCGTTTGAAGGTTTAAAATATTCTATAATTTAATATCTTGGGTGTAACCCACTGTTTTTCCTCTATAATATTACAACTTTATGGGGCAGTGTCTTACAAAATAAATCTGTATGTATTATGTTCATTATGTTTTCCTTGATGCTCCATACTATGGCGATACAGGAATGGTACAAAATTGTCCGAAAGCATTCAAAGGTTTAAAATATTTAGAGGTAAGTTACAAAGGATGATTGTACCCCAACAATGACAGATAACTCTTTAGAATGTGAAAGTCATATATTAACATTGAATTTTTCAACATGGTATTTCAGGCCTTTCAAAATTTGCCAGTACCCATAATTAAAATCGCTTCCACAAGGTACCTCCCATTTTTGTACAAGTGCCACCTGTTTCTAATCTTTTTGAAAGCCCTGGTATTTGAATCTTTTTTATACCAATGACTAGTGCATTGAGGTGTGAAATAAATTTTCCAGTCAGCAAGCAATAAATTATGGTAAAAAATTGTTTTGACCAGACTAGACAGTGACAATAAAGGCAAGCGTGACATAGATGGTTTTTGCACAGGCGCCAGCAATTTTATCAATAAAGTGAAAAGAAATGATAAACAGGCATAAATCCTACCAGTGAGCTTTATGAGCATAGCCAGAGGATGACAACAAGTTTTCTTGAGTTCTTTGATTGGCTATTCAACCAACATCAAACACCAGATATCAACTCCATAGTGTTAATTAATTAACTGACATTTTTTTACTCTACAACTACCCTACACAATCACTTTAATCCCATTTCTGCACATTTCGTTCATAACCAGCAGCCAATGACAATTTCTGTGTGATGTCACGTTCACTGCCAAAAGTAATTATTCATCAAATTGATACATACATTATTAAAAAAAAATTACCAATGCATTGAAATTTTCTTTATTTTTTAATGTTCAAACAAGGAAAAAACATTATCCAACACTATCCCCTAATAAAATTAAAATATGATTATTCAAAAAGAAAGAGAGATAATCAGATACTTACCATCACCTTTCGGAATTCTTCAATCTTTTTCATTTAAGGAAGAGATTGCAAGGGTACATGAAAAAAATCCGCTCTATGAATTTTTCTCATTTTTACATATAATTTGCCTTACGTTAATGGAATCATAATATGAAAATTTCAACCATGGTCATCAAGGTTATAAGGAAGATATGGTTGCCATGGTAACCACCGTTTTTCAATATTTTGATATTTATGTAGTGAAATTTTTAGTATGCCATACAGGTATCAAAATTGAAACAAATTAAATAATTTTCGCCAGATATTAAATAATATGCTTTAAATTCATCGAAAATAAAAATTGTATCGGAAACTATTGATAGGTGTACTAATGCCACAGTTGCTTTGGGGAGTAGTCATTGTAAATTTGCAGTAATATTTTCACCCCAAGAGCAGTTTTCAACGTCTTGACAAAAAATTGCCCAATGAATTTTCCTAAAATTAATATATTTTGTAACAATTATTATAAGTGACTTATGGTTAAAATATGAAGTGGGATCATCACATTCTTTTTTAAGCTACATGCATTTCAATACCCCCCCCCCCCTTCCTAAAATATTAAAAGTTCATGAATTTTAATCTGATGGTTTGTTGCTGAACCTTTAATATGCATAATCTGATAAAAAAAAAAAAAAAACTATAGAAAATACGTATAGATTAATAAATATTTTTTCCTGAAAATCTTGTGGTGGTTGCTCATTTTATACATAGAGCAGAATGATAGCAGAATGATATAAGTATCATGTACACAAAAAACAACAATATGCATATTTTTTTTTATTTCCCCATCTCCAAAATATTCATTCCGTTATTATATCAATATAAGTATATACATTCTAAACCAGTGCACAGTGGTCTAAAAGCCAAATTGTTCATGCTCTGAACACTCATCGAGTTTTCTGCACTGTGACTTGGTATCGGAAAGGCGGGGGGGGGGGGGGGGGCAGTCACTTGAACACATTGAATGAATAGGTTATTTCAGAGATTCAGAGAACTTGTACCTGCAATATATATCGTATATAAAAATCCTAGCTATTATCTTATTTGACAGATTTTAGTGATTTGCTATTTAATATTTACATTCGCAAATATTTTTCCTTCAGATTCATTGCAAGTTAGAAAACAATTCATTTTCTCATGAACTAGGTAAGCCTACATATCTCCATTGTGACGTCATAATGCCACACTTGACGTCAAAACTATAGTGCAAACTGTTTTGTTTCAAAAATAATCGTAGAATGACATTTATAAATTTGCGCTTCATGCTCACGCGGTTCATGAAATATGCTGATGTGAAGCGTCTTTGTTCATGTCCTCGTGAATTTTAAAAAATTTAATTCATTTTTCAAATATATTCCCGTGAGCATGATGAGTTGAAATGTTTGGGTTTTTTTTTTATACATGTATATGCTCAAAATAATTTTCTCTCTCTGGTATACCTGGTACCTCTGTAGTACCTCGATTGTCAGAATTAACCTCTCTTAGTTTCGTCTGTCATTCTTACATGCGTATTTTTTTGCTAGATTTGTGAAAACTTGCAAAAAGAAACTTTTCTTTTCTGTCAGAAGAAGTGTTTTAAGTTTTAAGTTTTTACCAAATACGACGCATAAAACATTTTACCACAACAAATGTTTACGCAATAATGTGCCGACGATTCAATGTTTACATGGTCGATGTAAGAGTTGAAAATGCTAGAGAAGATCTTACAGAGGAAAACAATATCCTCTGCAATATTTTTAAAAATACGTTCATGTCCAGCATGCGACCTCAAATTACTGGTCTATACACGAATATATGAAAATCGCATTCGTTTATCTGTCCATCCATATAGGCCTATATTCATTATAATCACTGAGAAAATCACGCATTCTGAAGCTTCTAGGAAATGAATATCTATTCATAGATGTAGATCCGCGTCACGCTCACCAACACTCTGCAACATCACATATTTATCTTATTCTTTCTCTGTTTTAAAAATATTGCCACGAAGATCTTTTGTCATGTGCGCAATCATAATCACGCTCCTTATTCAGCTGTTATTCCGGAAATGGTTACCGTAAATCTTCTTTTTTTAAACATCACATGAGTCGATCACGTGACGCCTTGCAATCGCTTCCTTAACTAATACGTACCATATAGTTCCATTTGCAGTGAATGTGAGGTCACGCAGAATTGTCAGTGGTCTCTGGTTATGAGCGAGATGTGCAGAAATGGGATTAAAATGATTGTATAGAGTTGTTGTAGAGTAAAAAATGTAAGGAATTAATTAATTAACACTACAGTGTTGATATCTGGTGTTCGATGTTGGTTGGATAGTGAATTAGCGAATACTGAGAAAACTTGTTGCCTTTCTGTCACTTCCCTCACTATGCTCATGAAGCTCACTTCGGTAGGATTTATGCCTCTTTATAATTTATTTTCACTTTATTCACAGGTACTTGGGTCTTGGTTTATAAATATGTATGTACCTTATTGATATGTAAAAAAATAAAATAAAGGTATGCATGCTCCTTAATGGCGTCTGGTCAACTTGCTTGTTTACATGGCTTGTTCTTTGAAAATAATGCTGCACCTACCGATCTTTATGCACCGGACGTCTCGGAACATTGATTACTTCTTGTAAAAACCCTCACATCTTGCAAAAAATTCCTAAAACATGATTTTTAACACATTTTCAAACATTATTAACTTTATTTTACATATTTATAAACCAAGACCTAAGTACCTTTGACTTTATTGGCAATATATGTAATGTATACGCCAATAAAGATACTACTACTTTGATAAAATTGCCGACTCCTGTGGTAATGTCGATAAATTATGGTAGATCAAGAAGAAAACGGTAATACTGTAGTCATTTTTCCACTTCGTTTTCTCTGAAAGCGAATGACTGCAATTCTGGGTAGTGGGCACTCCATGTAATTTGGAGTTAGATACCTTGTTTTAACATACTATATTACTGAAACAAGTGCCTGTTCCCTGAATTCAAAACGACGTAATTTACTTCCATTTGTAATTGTACCAACCATATGCATATATTCCTCTTAGAAGATCTTCTCGTAAACCCATGTGATCAAATGTCGGGGTAACATCAACATCTTCACTTGTCTCGAACTCGATAGTTTTCAAATCTTCTTCCAACACGCGTCTCGCCATTTTTCTTTTTCTGTGGAATCACCGTCACAAAGACGCTTGAGTTCATGATTGGAAAAACGTTTGATTCTATGGAGGCCCAGTGGGTACTTTTCATGAAAAAAAACCAAAAACAAACAAACAAACAAACAAAAACAACACAAAAAAAATCAGAAAAGCAATATAAAGCCAAAACTAACACTAAGACTTTAAAATGTGAGTGTTGTAATTGGTGTTTGTGTGTGTGTGTGTGTTGGGGGGGGGGGGGGGGGTAAGGGTCAAGTGTATGTGTGTGTTTTAAATTATCTTCATATATATTTATATAATGGATTTGGAAAATGACTCTCTCTGGTAGTTGATACTTAGCTTAAATTCCACCATGTATCAGGTAATCACTCAGTGGCGGATTCAGGGAAGTTGGGGGAGGGGGGAGTTCGGAACCCCCCACCCCCACCCCCGCTCTGAGATTTTTTTTTTTCTTGCAAGTGTCATTTTAACAAGATATTGTATAAATTAATAATAAAAAAAAGTGACACTGTTTATGATAAGTACATAAACCTCCCTCATCGGACTGAATAATTGCTAATAGCAAACCTTCCTCTGGATACTTAACTCAAAAGTATCCTCTCTCCCCGGAAAAGTTTATTATATACATGTAAGAAACATTTCCTCATTGATTCATAGAAAATCATCACCCTCCAGATGTTTTGCTACATTGTAAAAGCCCCCTCCCTTTAATCCGTAATTACATATTATGATATCTGTTATTATACATGTAACACGGTGATTGTGTTCAAGTTTCTTTATTCCATAAGTTGACAATGTTTCCTAAGCAAGGGGCATATGTGACGTTTACACTTTACAGCATATTACACCATCTGGCTCATTAATGAATATTCATTCTTGATAACTTGCTGAACTTGCTGCCAACAATGGCTAGGAAAGCACAAGAAATGACCAGCATGCAACAGGATATATATCATGTGACATCACAAAAAATGTTTACAATTATTTCAGAGCTTTTCATAATATAACATTACTTTTAATAAGAACTGAAAATAATGACAATTAATAAAAAATAAATCTTTTCAGTAAATACTAGAAATTTAAATCCCATGCTAATTCCAATGTTATGTGAAATAGTACAATGTAAGCAAATCACGCTGGTCCAGTGGTAACACTACTTGGCCCAGAGGAAAAGGCCCTCGGTTCAAATCCCGAAAAATCCAATACTTATTTCTTTTTATATTAACAAATAATAAAATTTTAAATATAAATTTTCTCCCTCTTACATACATGTTATATGTTAATGCCCATTGGGCCCTGATATGGTAATAAATCCCATTCTATTCTATTCTATATATATAATCTGGTAATAAAGTCAGTATATTCCTCGTGTTCATTTTGATTCTTGATAACAATGAAAATTAGCATGGAGAATGTACAAGATTCGAATCATAGAAATATACATGTACTTTATTTGCAGAGCTTAAATCGCAGGCACCTGACCAATGTTTAGTGTAACCCCCCACCCCACCCTAAACTGATTAAAATCAGATCCTTTGATCCGCTCACATAGATCGCTACATAAGGTGAAGCGATCTATTTGAGCGGATCAAAGGATCTGATTTTAATCAGATTGCACCCCACCCCACCCCCCTTTTTTCTGACACCAAATTTGCTACTTTAATAAAAAATTGTGAGTCTAAAAAAAATTCTCAGAAGGAAGGGGGGGGGGGGAGGATTTACACCAAATATGGAATTATGGACCGGTTAAACCGGTTAAAAGGGTATCTGGATGGACCATCCTAATTCATAAAATTGCAATTACTTATGACTTGTTTCAAAGTTGCAAAATTTTCTCATGATTTGTCAAGTATAGTGGTCTTGAAAAACAAAAATGGGTACTGAGATATGTTAATGATGTTTCAAAATGCATGGTCACAAAAATTGATTTAAAGATTGATTTTCAAAAAATACAAATATTATATATATATATATATATATATATATATATATATATATATATATATATATATATATATATATATATATATATATATATATATATATATATATATATATATGTAAATGTACATAAGGGACCGGTCCAAAGTATGAAATGGGACATGTATTCTTATTTAATTTTGGGGACATATATATTGAAGAAAATATGTTATAGTAATAATATATTTTTATACATTGTAATTTTTTAAAACCTGAAATAGTATTGTCATAAGATTTTTGATAGAATGAGCAATGTTATGCATTAGCTGATATACTTTCGATCGACATGTCTTTCCCTGATCATTGTAATCATTTCATTTGTAAAAATTCTATTCAATTCTGTACTTTTTGGGGCATTCATTAGGGTAAAACAGCAATTTTTTTTTTTTTTAATTTTTTTGTTTTTATTTATTTATTTTTTTTATATAGTTATGTACATGGGATATTTATATTTTTCTTCCTAATAAAATTGTAACAAAAATTCTCACTAAAAAAGAAATTAGCAAATTTTTGAATATTTATAAGATAATTTTCGCACAAGTAGCAAATGCTCAGACAACAGTGGAACCAAATGCCGATTTTTTAATGAAATGTGATTTCATTTCTGGGATAATAATTTGTGTTGTTCGTTTGTTAAAAAAATATTGATGTTTCTCGACCGGAAACAGTGCGTCTGTTCTGTGCGCTCTTTGATTACTGTGAGCCATCTGTTTCCTACTTTTGTCTGACAGTTTTGCGGGAGCGCCGAAGGATGAAATTACACCAACAGGTAGAGTGGTGTATGTTAAGAGGATAGACTGACGGTTTACTGAAAGTGTGTGCGAAGTATCATTATGTGGTTTTATAACTTTTTGATCAGGTTAAATCAATCGTTGATTATTTATTTGATTCTTGTGACTAGTTTGAAGGCGCATCCACAATGTTTAGATTTTCGACCTCCATTCAATCCGGAGAGTCCATTGCAATTCTGTTCGGAATATTCCGCTTTCGGATGCTGTACCAATCAGGATGACTTAGATATCCAGGATGAATATAATAGGATAATGAGACAATTGTCGAATTCAGACGTGTTTGCTTGTGAGAGATATGTGAGGGAATTCGTTTGCCAAAGGTGTTCCCCCTATGCAGCTCATATTTACGACGCTGAGGGATCACTGGTTTCCCGACCATTCCCAGGACTTTGCAATAATTACTGTCGAGATTTCTACCGCAGCTGTAGACAAATTGTGAGTTATTTAACTCAAGACTCAAATGTTCTGCAACATGTCAGTTATGGTACATCAGCATTTTGTGAGTACATAAGACTCAGTGATGAAGATTACTGCTACCCAGAACTTAAAACAAATGCAATGTTGAACAATAGAATTTCCATCAAACAGTACACCTCAGAAGGTTGTTTGTGTATGGAACCTTTTGCTGATATGTTGTATAACCCTGTGTTTGCTCGGCATGCGGGTGATGGAAGTAATCGGTTATTCATAGGAGAAGTTACTGGATTAATATTTGTGTACTATTTAAATGGTTCAAGTGAGAGTCACCCTTTCTTGGACATCAGTTACCAGACTGTCAACTCAAGAAATGAAGGTGATGAAAGAGGTTTATTGGGATTAGCTTTTCATCCCAATTTTCGCCAAAATGGCAGATTCTTTGTGTATTATTCCACACCACTTGAGTACCATAATGACTTAATGAGTAACAACCATAAGATCCGCATCAGTGAGTTTCTAGTGTCAAGTCAGGATCCCAACATAGCAGATGCTGGGAGTGAAAGAGTGATTTTAGAAGTGGAGGAACCCTTCTGGAACCACAATGGAGGAGAGGTTTGTATTAGCATATAGGTGGTGTTTGCTTTCTAATTCTAGTACAGAACCAAACATTCATTTGATATAATTAAGGAATTGCGCAGTGTATAAGAAACATTTTTTTTGAAAATAAACATGTCCTTCATTAGACACAATATACCGGTACTAAATGTGATAAGAAAATTAATGAAAAAACACATTAATCAAGGTGAAATGTTTTTTCCCATTATATATATTTATTACCAGTTGATAATTTTTTTTAGTCTTGGATACCTAATGTAAACAATTTAGAAGGTCTTAAACACCTCAGGCAATAAAACAAAGGAGTTTGTAGATTTAATAAAGGATGCAATTTATATGTAATAAAAAATTACCATTCTGCCAAGTAATTATTTATTTCAGTAGATTTCCTCTGTGCCCTTGTCTAGTAGAAATTACAATGATATGTTGTACTAAGATTAGCATATTGTTGATGTTTTCTGTACAACACTTTCTTCATATTATTCGCTCTTGTGCTGTTTGCCACTAAGCCCTTATCATTCATGCAAATCTATGTCTATTCAGACTCATTAAATACAAAGTCATTACCCACAAAGAATATTTGAGAGCCAGGAAATATTTCATGTTAGCATTTTGGTGAAAGTGGTTATTTCAGGCGATGCATGAAAAAGAAATCTTAAGTTGCTGATAGATGTTATCAAATTACACCCAGCTCAAATTATTTAATCTTTAATCCACCTTTCTTTTACAGAATTTCTGTTCAGTTAACTTTAAATTCAAAGATTCTGATTTGTTAATTAGGTTTTCATGGTTTTTTTTATTCATATCTTCAGCTTAATAATTTTTAGACCTTGACATATTACCTTTGATGTTGATTAAAAATTTCAACTTTTGAAAAACTTGTAGATTCAACAACATGAGGTCTTAAATTTTCAAGTCAGTAAACTTGAAAGATTGAATAAAATGTTATCTATGATCTAATAATCCTTATGTATTTAGTGTGCATTTATATTTCCCAAGCTTCAACAAAGACCCTATGTTGTCTTATATATTCCAAGGGATTGTATGTAGAAATTGTTTCTGAATCAATACCCATCAAGGCTTTTTATTATCTTAGGATTATTTAAGCTTTTTCTACCTTCAAGAAAAAGTCTTAAGTTATAAAAGAATGATTTATCTTTACAATCAATATGAACATGCACTTTAATCAAGGAATTTAAAAGAAAAAAGAATTTGAAAAAAAAAAATTCACATCAATAAAGTTACCTGTTCTTATTTGTAGTTATATTGGATTTCCAAAACTAAAATGAAAAAAGAAAGAAAGAAATCTTTTAAATAATAAAATATTGCTACATTTGAAATGTGATTCAAAGGAAGATTAATAATTGCTATAAAATGTACATTGTTTGACCAATTTATTTGCATTCCTTGAAGACTATCTATGTTCTTTGAATACATGTATATAAACTAATGCTAATTTTCTTTCTGCATTCAAATAAGTAAATTCATTTTTAAGCAAAAGAAAAAATATTATATGCTAGTGGAAGAGAACAGGAGAGCATTAAACTACAGATTGATATGACAAGTAGATATTTACAATTATAATACTTTGTATTTTAATTTTTAATTTATTAAAATATTATGAAAGGGAAAAAACAAATCAGAGGCTTACAAATAGATTTTTCAAGCACTTGCCCATGGGGCAAATGCATGGGCAAAATTCACTTGCCCTACCCCAATTTTTATTTTCCCCACCATAACTATAAAATTCAAAAGTAGGAAGACAAATAGATCATGATAACCCCCTGTATCCAGTTGTAAAACTAAGGCATTTTTCTTTTTGAAAAAGTCACTTGCCCACAGACAAGTGGTTAATAAAAATTCACTTTTCCACCCCTAAAATTCTCTAGCCCTGGGTTTCAGGCAGTGGGAATTGTCAGCCCCTGACAAATGGACTCCAACTAGTTGAATTCAGTTTGAGATTAACTGTGTGCTTTGGGGAGGGGGGGGGGGGGAGGGAATAATTACTGTATGTGTACTTAAAAAGCTGTCTTCATATTTTAGCGGCTTTGACACAGACAACAATGTGCTAATTCATGAATGCCGTAAATAAATCCTATATGAATACAGTGCATGGCTTGGAAGTCTGTAGCACTAATTCATTCAAGTCATTGCGCTAAATTATGAATACGTTAATATATGTACATGTACAGTATTTGTAATTGTTTTGTTTTTCTAAATGGAAATCATCTAGATTATTTTTTATTTTCATTTTTCTTTAACTTTCAGATTTTGTTTTGGGATGATGATTATATTTAAAAAAAAAAATTTTCCAGACTTTATTTGGGGATGATGATTGTATATCTATTGTTTTTTTTTTAACTTTCAGATTTTATTTTGGGGTAGTAGTTTGCTAGATATGTACTGTATTGTTCCTTTTTCAGATTTTGTTTGGGGATGATGGTTATTTATATATTTTTATTGGAGATGGAGGTTCCAGGGGAGATCCGCTTGGAAATGGCCAAAATACGTAAGTAGATGAAATATTCATGTGGGCAAAAATGAAAAGTTTACCAGTTTCAACCATGTTAGCCCTTTTGGACAAAAGCACAGCCTCTAATTTTAAAAATTGTATGAAAATCCTACTTCTACAGCCTTTTATTTTTTACTTTGCTTGCTAATGAACATGCAGTTTAATGTCTAGAATAGTGGAAGAGTTACAAAAAATAGTGCAATTTTATTCATTATCATTTAATGAATTATGACCCTTTATTTTTGAAAATTTGTTGCAAATGGTAATTGATGTACAACTTTTTCTCTTTGCACTTTAATATATATGACCTGTTATTTTTTGTCTGTGCTTTAGAATTATTTCATATTTTTTGGTGATCTAAATTGAAAAACCTAAGGTATAAATAATATTGGTATAAAATGAAAGGACTACATAGGAAATAAAATCTTTTGGTCTTTAACCTCAGGGTGCATAGAGATTCAAATACATGTAGTTCACTCTTAGAACTATAGGGACTTATGATAGCTATAAGCCTGTTGGGTACAAACTAAATTCTGTACACATATTACATACATTTTGGCTGTGTATTCTTTTTAGTGCCTTTGGCGGAAAGCAACTTGCGCTAATTCAAGTACAACTCTAAATGTTTTGCATATATACACATAAATATTAAGAACATTTAAGAAATGCAATTGATGAAATGTACGCTAACTTGTTCAAAAATCAATTTCCACCAAATATCATACACCTAAATATTATACATTAACATTATATCTTTCCACATATATTTCTTCTGTTCATGCTATTGGCTTTTGTATTGACATTATGGTGTATACAGTGACAATGAACTTTATTATAGTAACTGAAAAACAGTATAGAGAAGACACAATATGTACAAGGTGTACAAATAATATATTAATAAACTATAAGTAAGGACATATACACTGGATGATATGATAATTGACAGAAGAAATTAGTATTGATTGATGAATGTCAGTTAAGGAATGGTTTTTATGTGTAGTACATGATTCTTTATTATTACCATATTGCTTAATCAGACATGATCAAAAACATTAGCAAAGCTTGGTTACCATATTAATATCAGTATTATTCAGTGTGTCATTATTTATGCAATGCAAGCTATCATAAACATTTAGTGGTTCAATATCACCTAGTAATTACAATGTTCTTTTCCATTGGGCAGAATTGTAGCAATGCAACAAAAGTCCTATCAGCGAGTTACATATTTTATTCATTATTGAAATAACATAATGCTAAGTTTTAGTTAACTACATCTTCTATGGCCATTCAGCTATGGTTCTTTCATATCCAATATGAAATCAATGTAGGATTATTCACATACATGTATACTAATTAAAGAAAAGAATTTCTCAGCCCCCCTCTTCCCCCTCCATTCCTCTCTTGTGTGTGTGTAATAATAACAATATTTTCTGCCATACTTTTTTTTCTCTCTTTTATTGCAAAATTTTGTATTTTAGATATATATAATTACAAAAAGATTCAAAAAGTTTCACAAAATAATAGTATTCTTTAACTTTGACATCTTCGCTAGCCAAGGGTGAGGATCCACTCCTCTCCTCTTTGAAAAGAGGAGAGGAGCGGATCGTCACTTTTGGCTAGTGAAGATGTAACTTTGATCTTATTGGTCAGAATTGAAAAAAAAGGAAAATTAAATAACTTTTGAGGATCAAACATTGCAATTAAGTTTGTCTATTACAATGTACTGGTACATATTTATTCTTCTGAGAAAAGTAGCAGAATTTTAATTTCATTTAAATTTTGGGAAGTTTTTTCATGCATACACACACAATTAAAGGATTTGTATATGCTAGGGATGTCAACGAATATTCGAACATTCGAATATTCATTCGATGAGTTAATATTCGAATATGAATTTGAGATTCGAATATTCGGTGGTTTTCAGATTTCACAAAAAAGGTAATAAATTTTAATTAGAACAGTTTTGGAATTATCCCCGTTTATTTACTAGCGATCCCCTGATTCCTTTCGCTACTTTCTTATCTTATTGATCTTCCGAATTTTTTTCATTTTGAGTAAGGTATAAAGAAATAGGGTATATAGAAATAAACAAGAACTATTAATGTATGATACAAAAAGTACTTTCAGTATGATCGGATCTAGAACCGAGGACAACGAAATGAAACCTTCTTGAATGTCTAAGAGACGTGAAGGATGTACTTATGAAAATAATTTTTATTGATCATTGAATTACATCTTTGATAGAATCAGCCTGTAATATTGTAAAGGGCTCAATTTCAGAATAATGCATCAATTACTTGATTATCTCGGGTTAAATATAATTTTAAAAATTTAAAATCATTATCGGGAAATTAATGACCTAGGAAAATTGTCCATGGAACTGTTTGTTTATATTGTCAAAACATTGTATCAAAGATTATATTATATCTTTTATTAAGCAGATAATTGTAATTAATTACGTGTTTTTGAATCTGAAGAGTAAACGACAATCTTGCCCCTGGTTAAACGACTGGTTCGTTGGTTTGAACTTGTATAGATATCATTTGTTACATTTATATTTCGGTTGTATGCACTTAAATCAATCATTTATTTCAAACATTGACAGATATCAAATGTAGAATTCCTTATTGTGCACCTACAAAATCTATGTCCAATTTTACTTCCAAATACCGACGCAAACCTGCCATGAGAGTATAATGATGTACATTTGAAATTAACTAAATTTTATTTATTTTATCGAATATTCGAATATATTTGAATACTTTCATTGAATATTCGAATATGAATTATGGACAAAATTGACATCCCTAGTATATGCCATATTATTTTAATCTTCACTATTCTATACTGAGACTTCAACAAAGATAGAGTAAAAATCTAATTTTTAAATTTCAGGAGCACCCTCCTGGGTAAAGTATTGCGGATAGATGTGAATACAGAGTTTGACTATCCATATCCTTACAAGATTCCGCCGGATAATCCATTTGTCAATAACGCAATGTTTCGTCCTGAAATCTACGCATATGGAGTTAGAAATATCTGGAGGTGTGGAAAGGATAGAGGGGATCCTCTCACAGGTAATGGGGAAAAACTAATTTGTTTTGATTTTCTGAAATTACATTTCAGAGCATTACAGAGCAAGTTTATTTCTTTCTGAAAGTATTTAAACTGAGCTTAAATTACTGTGTGAAAATTCTTGTTGGTTTCATGAAAATATAAATAATGAATCACTTAGTAAAAGTCACCTTCAAGTTCCATTTTACAGTATTGTTATGCACAGAAATAAAATGTGGCACCCATTTTTTCTATCTATTTGATCTGGCACTGTCACAAGTACTGTAAATTCCTAAATTTACATGAGGAATTAATTAACGCGTAATTACGCGAGGAGCACCACTCGCGAAATAAAATTACACCCATTTATTTTTATGGTGTTGAAATTAATGTTTAATGTGAAATTAATGTTAAATCTCATTGTAAAGCGTCCATTCGCGAATTATTGTTCTCGCGATTTGGTGTCTAAGAGCCCTTTCGCGATATTAAGTACTCGCGTAAAATAAGGAATTTACAGTACCGGTATTAGACATTGAGATATTTTTTATATTAATTACTGAATGCCTTGTGATGAAATGTGCATGATACAGCACAAAATTTTACTTTGAAAAATCTTGCACATTAATGTGTTAACTTGTTGCAGACAAAGCTGCAGTTTTATTTTCTGACATTATTCTGATTACAAGATTTTCAACTTTCAATTTAGGTCAGCCAATTTAGGTTAGCAAAAATATTTCACATGCCAAAACTGAATTGCTTCCCTTTCAACACACTGTCAGATTCCAAAGAATTTCAATCTGTCAGTAAAATTCATTTTAATTTGGAGGATTTTGGCCAGTCGGACGGGAGAATATTTTGTTATGCTATTTAGTGTTTTACCCAAAAGTTCGAAAATCTGGTATGCTTATACAATTCTCATGATACAATGATTTATGTTTGAGTTGAAAGCATAAAGATAAAAATGCAGTTACATTTTCTCAATTTTGTTCTCATTTAGTCAAAAAGGGCCGTCATGTATATGTATATTGGCGTAAACACTTGTAATCTTTACCATATTAACAGGAGAAGATAAGGGAAGAATAGTGTGTGGCGATGTTGGCCAGTCAGCGTATGAAGAATTAGATTTACTGATCAAGGGAGCTAATTACGGCTGGAATTCCAGAGAAGGTCCAGCTTGTTATGATAAAGAAATCTGTGGACACATTGGTAGGTATTTACTGTCCAGGATAAAAAGTCAAGTAAATTGCATGGGCCCATTTGAATTTTTTTGTAATGCTTAAAATGTAAAAATAACTTCCAGATGATTAATTCTATGATAATATTATGAAATTAATATAAACTCCATAAAGAGGCTGGGTCCATCTCCCAGTATGTTAAATTTAATAACATATATCACTATTACAGTAGTATAGTTTTTATCCCTGCTGAGAGGTACTGTAAACATGCATGTACCTTTTTTGAGGGGGTCAAAATTCTGAGGAATTACAATTTCTGTTCAATCCACAGATAAAAAATTAGAATCTTAGATTGCCACAATATGCCTTGAATATACTTTAAGCATGCTGGGACAAATTTTCATGGAAAATGTGTGACCCCATACATAGCGCTCATTAATACCATGCAGAAAAAATTTCTTCTACAGTAAGCTATTTTGATCAAACGTCATCTGTCAGTAAATTTTAAAATATTATTCTTTGTTTGGAAACCATAGTCCAATTTTAAATAAAACCTGGCTTTTGTCTTACACTGGGCCACCAGTAATTTTCTACATTTATATTTTATGAATAGTATTTTTAATATTACACATCTGTGTGGTTTAAGGGGGACAATTCTTGCATAACATACTCTGTTAACTGTATGACTTGACTGTCAATGCACACTGTGATTATATGTCATAAAACCATTCTTTTAGTACATAAAACAACTCTACAAGAACAATCAGCAAATAAGGTGAATCAGGTGAACTTTGTGGCCTATGGACTCCTTTTACAGTCATATACATGTACTAGTATACATACACTTTAAGTTAAAAATAAGTTTGTTTTACAATGTATTATCACATACAAATTTAATTTGCAGGTCCTGAAGTTCTCCCCATTCATTACTACCCCCACAGGGAGGGGAAGTCAATCACTGGGGGCCATTTCTACAGAGGCTGTCTAAATCCTAATCTTAATGGATTCTACATCTTTGGAGACTTCATGAATGGGTAAGGTATATTTTAGCAGAAGTGAGAAGCAAAACATTTGTATAAATTTAATGTAACATTTATTTTATTTATCCATAAAAATATCAAAGGAACCTGTGCATTTACCTATACTATAGTCTGGAGAAAAATCTGCATTGTTTTGTTTTTGAAGAATTACATGTATAATACTTTAGACTTTCAGTATATAAATTTCATTAAAAATAATTATTTAAGAGCCATAAGAAAAATAAGAAAAGAACTGTAATAACAAAGTTTTTCTCAAGTCTAGAGTTTATTACATATGTAATATGGTTTTTTTTTCCCTACAGCCGATTGTTCAGACTTCTCTATGATCGTCAGAAAAATTCCTGGGATAACAAGGAATTAAACATGTGTGGCCCTGAGATGTGTACCCCACCCTTGATTAATTATTACGAGCCTCATATACTGTCATTTGGAGAAGATGAAGGAGGTGGGTGATGTAATCAAAATTTTCAGGTTTGGGAAAGGGGGGTGCTTGAGATATTATTTCACAACAGATGATTCTGGTTTCAAGATATACCTGATGCATGTAAAAAGACATTTTGAACAGTCCCTAGTGTCACTTTAATCTTGTACAGCTGTAATTTGAACCCCCACCACCACCACCAAAAAAATGTGCTGGATGTCTTGTGTGCTACATTATTGTTTCCTCCATTACAGGTGAAGTGTACATGCTGTCTACTAAACGAGCTAGCTCAGCAGATTCCAGTGGAAAAGTCTACAGAATCGTGGACCCAGCGAGGTATATATGTCTAAGAGACTTAGGCATATTACAACAATGTTTCAATTAAAAATTCTAACCTTAATACCTGTGTTCTGTATAACATATGTATATATGATCCTCAGATCCTACATTCATCTGTATATTATTTGATTTAGTCCAGACCAAAAAATAAAATCTGAGTTAGGGTTTCCTGCTTGACTCTCCCCCATGCCCACCCCTCTATTTTTTTTTTCAGCATTGGAAATAAAAACTGAATCCAGATTCTACTGTTTCATACATTTTTAGCTTACCTCAATAAAGTTGGGGGAGCTTATATAATACCCTTGGCATCAGTGTTGGCATCCCAAGTTAATATTTTAGGAGAGCAGAGCTCTGCCCTATATTGATAAGAGATGCATGGATGGTGCATCTCCAATGTTTCATAGTACCAGTCAGGTTTCAGATGCTGCATTTTTAGGAAAGAATGACCAGGTTAATGTTTTTGGAACAGGTTTCATTCCCACATACTAGTAACCATTAACCCCACCTGGACCAAACTTGCAGAGTGATACATCTAGGGAGACAAACTACCAGGTTTAGTTTGAATGCTTGATCTGAAATTCAATTTTTCAGTTGAGTGATCAGGTTTAAGTTTTTAGAGCAGGTTCATTCCAGTGTAACGTTAACTACAACTAGGAATGCTAACTACAAGATTTGCTTCAGATGGTGGATCTGGGCAACATTTTTTTGATAAGTGACCATGTTAAAGTTTTTCAAGCAGGTCCATTCCTAAGTAACTGTAAACCTTTGGTGACAACCAGACTTGCTTCAGTTGCTGGATTTGACATACATTTTTGTGGATGAGTGACCAGGTTGAAATTTTTGGAGCAGGTTCATTCAAATGTAACTTTAAGCCTTATCTGGACCAAACTTGCATACATGATGCATCTAAGGACGCACACTACCTAAATACCATTCAGATGCTTGATCTGACCAACATTTACTGGATCAATGTACAGGTAAAAGTTTTTGGAACAGGTAGTTTTTATAATTTTATGGTGATTTATCTTCCATGGATGATGTATCTAGGGATGCACATTCTTCGGATCTTGGATCTGACTTAGATTTTCCATGTGATTGAACAGTTTAAAGTTCTTGGAGCAGGTATATTCCCAAGTGATGAAAAATCCTACCCAAACCAAACTTGCATAAATGTTGTATATAGGGATGCCAAATATCAGAATATTTGTTTAGTGTGAGACTTTGTCCGTCTTCGCTAGCCAGGGGTTTCTGATCTGGTACTCTCCTCACAATCTTGTGGATCAGAAACCCTTGGCTAGAGAAGATGGACTTAGCATTGCTTAAAGTTAACATTTATTGAGGTGAGCTATGTAATCCTTGATTACCTGTGTTTAAAATAAATGATTTTATAAGAAATGAAAAAAGCAATAAACAAGTACACTGAAATGATTAAATTTAGAGACAATAATGTACATGTATATATTTATAGTGAATACATATATACATTTAAAAAAATAATAAAATCCAACCAATTCATTTTTTTCTGCTAGAAACCTTTAACATACATACAGTTGAACTTTTGTTACCTCAAACATTGATATCTTGAATACCATTGATATGTCCAAGTGAGTTGGAAGACCCAACCGCTCAGAATTTAACCTCAATACAGTATCACGAATCCTCAAATATCTCAAGTTTTTTTCTTGGCCCCATTGAGTTCAAGATAATGAGGTTTGACAGTATTTTCTCTTTATTGTCATTAAACTCTTTCAAACCATATTTTGGATGTTGTGGGATAAGGAAAAAAAATCAAATTTCTATTTGAAAAACCTGTAATTAATGAAAAAAAATTTTGGGGCATATTTTATTGAGTTTGTAGAAATAACACTTCTCTATGTGAAAGTTTTCAGAGAATAGGTGAATGGATTGCTTTAATATAACCAAAGTTTTGAGCATATGAAGGTAGTGCATTTGTAAAGTTTATATCACTGTATTTATATCACAGTTTATCATTTTCTGAGGTTATTCAAAACACAGGGGTTTTTTTTTTGTTTTGTTTTTTTTGCAATTCTGAAAAGCATTCATTTTAACCCTATCAATTTTAAATTCACAGTATCCTGTTTCTGTGAAAATGGCATAATTAGTGCAAAAGTAAAACTGTATACAGTATATATAAAAAAAAAAACCCACACACAGAAAATGGAAGAGAATGCTCTTTATCAACTAAGAGTAAAGACTATTGGCTACTCCATGATATATATCTATATAATTACACACTGACTAGAACTATCGGTAAATTATGTTGTTTTATATTATATTATATTAAGGGCAAAAATGTGCACTTGGGCACTTGACTCAATGAGCTTTTAGGCTAAAATACTGTATTGTATCTGTCCTTGTAGCCTTTTTAAACAAACTTTGCACAATATTTTTGAGGATTACAATTGTTTCCCCATAATAAAGGTGAACTATGTTTCAGGGGAGATAAGAAGGAAAAGGTGGAGTTATTATAACCTCAGGAAATAAAGTTTGCATGTTAAAATGAATCACAGTATTTTTTCTTTCTCTGAAAATTGTGTCTGGACCATGAGAAATTACATCTGATGCTCAAAGCCTAATAGTTTTCTATGTTTGCAAACCTAGGACTTGGGGAAATCTCTGAAACAATGATTGGTGAAGTTGAAAATCTGAAAAAGAAAAACAGAGAGCTGGTTTAGAGTTATCTCTCTTAGTGAATGGTCATTTCTTCCTTAATTCCTGTGGGTAAAAATCCTTCTTTAGATCTAGCTTTCCATTCATAGCATATTTCTATGTGAGAATCGTAGGAATATTCTGTGTGGAATCTGTTAAAAGCAACTATATAAATTTTAAAAAATCCATTTTGATAATCAGATACTGCATGTATAAAGTCTTTTAACAAACCTGACAGGGATTTGCAGGAACAGACACACCAATCAATGGAAGAAAACATGCTTCTGTCATGCCTTGTTAGCTTGTGCCACTCAACACTCTACTTTTTGACATCTAAAAATGCATTTTCTGCACAGAATGAACACATGCACTTTCTCTTTCAACAGGTGCAATCAAGCACCTGTGTAAGAGATTTACAATTTATTTGATTGATGCTTGATATTATCTTAATAATACAATGATTGCTCATGATTTCTCTGTGAATGCCCTTTATTTTATTACATAGTGCATTCTGTGTTGATGAGGTGTTATTTTTGGATCAGTGTTAGAATCAGGGTTGGGGTCATGACCTTTTCATGATCTGAGTTCTATGAAAATAGAAACACTGCATTTATTGCCTTTAAGATCAGCCCCTGTAAGAGATTTCTGTCTATATATTTTGATATTGATTTCATTGCACAACTCCTCTTGGAGTCATTATCAGTACTTAGTAGACATCTCTCTTTCTGTTTAATTGTCTTAGGGAATGCTCAAACAGATGAGATCTTCAAAACACAACCCTATTTTTACTTAGTCTTTTATTGTTCTGTTGTTATATCAGTAACCATAATTATGGAATATCATTGATTATTAAGTTTATATATAGGTTATTATATCTGTACTTTGTAGATGTAGATTTATTTTGTCATTTGTAGCCATTTTATGTTTTATTAAAGCTAAAGCTCTTCACAGCTTGTACATCAAAACCATTGCAACATTCTAAAGGGTATATAGATAACTGTCATATACTATTGATTCACCATATTTTGGGCTTATGAGATTTTCTTATATAATCTCATAATAAAAAATGTTTTTTGTGAAACATTAAAAAGACAGATTGATCAACATTCAGGAGAATGAATAGAGTAGATTAAGGACGTTCGATCCTGAGCTTTTGAGCAGATTTTGGTCTGGAGCTTTATTTCTAAAATTCTGCATTATTTTTAAGTTCTAACATTAAATCTGGATTCTACAATGCAAATTATACTATATCCAATGAAAAAAACGCGATTAAATTCCATTCAAATAGGATTAAGCCAGGAACTATATTTTGTGGCGGAAGATTTTTTAGAAGAAAATGATCATTTTTTCCCTTTTGAAATATATACAGTACTGTTAAGTTTAGATTCCTATTTTTCCATGCTGGTTGCACACAGAGCTATTTTGTGCATTGAAATGTGTAATGCTGGTTCTAAAATATTAATTAAATCAGTTTTTGTGAATTCTATCATCATATTGTGACAAATATAGAAAATATATTCTGAAACTCTAGGAAAAAATTGAGCCAATTTTATCACAAAATTAACAGTTTTTTAGTAATATCTAAAAAATAACATCATAGACCTCCACTTTTGATTTTCTTTTCTGAATATATAAGATAACTCTGATCAATCTACTTAGATTCAGCAAAAGTTTAAGACTTTAAAATATTTTTCTTGCTTGTTAAATTTTTAATGCCCGAAAAATGACATTTTGTGAGTGCAGAAAGGTCAAATAATTGATTATGCGAAGCAATTTGAAAATTTTTCTTTGTCACAATTTTAATGTGTCTTTTTTAAGAGAGAATAATAGCATACTTTGTCCCATGATTTATTTGTATAAAAAATATTGGAGGGAAAACGTTGAAGATGTTATTTTTGATTAAGACACAAATTCAGTGCAAAAAGGTCATTTTAAATGTACTGTAGCACCAAAAGAAGCATATTGACCCCCATATTTTGTTTTGATTTTTAATTAAGCTATGTGTGTACAAGCTAAAAATATACTTGACAAAAAAAGTTTAAGACTTTAAATATCAGGATCCAACGTCGTTAAGGCAATACAGTCATATTGTACCTCTTAGCAACACACTGAGATTCATGAATTGGTGCTGAGTACACTAAAACTCATTTAAATTTATTGCATTGGAGAATTATTTATTAAAAGCAATAGGCATTTTGATTGTGTACAACACAGTATCATAAAAGTAATCTGGGTAGTTCAGTAACATAAAAATGTGCAAGTTGTATAGAGAAGTTGACAAAGGCAAATCATTGAAAACAATTCTAAGAAAACAATGCACATTGTTAGATTCTGAAATGCAATTACAAAGCTTTTATAAAGCTTAAGATTTAAATGTAATTATGATTACACAACAAATACATTCATTTTTTTCATTTTCAGGAGAGGCAACCCCGTGCATTGTGCCTCAGCTAGATTGAGTGGACCCCTCCCAACACCTACCGTCTTCACCACCAGGCTCCCCATAGTAACACCGCCCACCACTACAACTCGTCGTACAAGCAGGGCCACAAGTACTGCTTCTACAGTTACCACAACTAGGGGCAGAGTCGGTATGTTACGGCATGCATGGAACACTGCTGTAGCAATTGTGATGGCTTTCTGGCTAAACTTATGATGAAATTTTGTTTACTAATTTTAGATCTGTAACATGGGACTTTGTTTTAAAAGAGAGCATTGATGGTTTCTAGAAGCTAGGTTGTAGAACTTTCTTTTTGATAGATATTTTTAACAAGTCCCCTCCTAAAAAAGTTTAAGAACATTGTTTTGTCAACACCTGATTTACCACAATGTATGTAATTGAATCTACAGTGTTGGTTAACAATGTTTTTCCTGGTCAATCAAAGGTGGTATTAGAAACCAGTAGATAAAAAAACTGTGCTTATTATTTTAGAGTTGTTTACTAATAGATACCTTGGCATGTCCCCTTTGTAAAATCCAGCATCTCTAACAGTGTTATTTTCCACTTTTCTAATAGTGTTATTTTCCACTTCGTTGTATTAATTCAAGTTCGTTATTTTCTAATTTTGGCCCAGCTTTTCAGCTGTTCTCTATATTGAATATTCCATGAATTAATATGTCAGTTTTTCTGTTCCCTTGATCTCATTCATACTTCTTCAACAGGGTTCTTTCAGGGAAAGTGCTTATTAATAACTTGTACAATATTTTTAACCCAAAGGTCAAACATTCATTTCTTGTCCAGTTTATATTATTGTTCCCCTGTGTCTTCATACTCCACCCATAAAGTGCGCATTGACTCTTCCTCTTAAGTTGTGTAAAATCCTTGACCCCTTCATCAATTTCCACCTTCTTCAGCCACAAGGGGTCTAATGACATTGACCAAAGATTATCAGAGGTCAATATCAATAGTCTTTACTGCAGAACTTGAATTTGGCACTGATATTTGTTTTATATATATATATATATATATATATATATATATATATATATATATATATATATATATATATATATATATATATATATATATATATATACATATATATATATGATTCTTTTATGTGGGCTCTAGCTGTTTCACTTGTAAATCAATACCCATAGTGTCTCTGGGTAAAGGATGTGCATTAACTTAGGAAAGCATTTTGACTTGAAAGTCAAGGTCTGTTAAAATCATTGTGTAAACATTGTGTTAATGGGTCCTTTTGTCTTTTTCCCTTTATCCAAACCTTCTGTTTCAGTCAAATTGAGACTCGGAGACAGACACAATTAAAACAATATCCATTTTTTTTAAAACTATTTTAGGAAATTTATGGACTTAAGTTCACCAATCCTCTGATCTCTCATATGAATTTATGCTTTAATGTTACAATCATTTTCCAAATGAAATCTAATTTATACTGAAAATGCACAAAATTTCAATATACTGGTACCACATGAGGCAAAATTTCACAGAAATGGCTTTTTAACTCACAATTTAATTATAAAGGAATAATAGTCATTTTCCCTAGGGAGAGTTATTAGGGCCCCGCAAGGATTTGCGGGTGCCCTATAGTAATCACTCTGTCTGTCTGTCCATCTGTCTGTCCATCTGTCCGTCTGTCATTCTTCCGTCCACAAATTTTCTGTTTTTTTCTAATAACTTTTTTTAGGGTTGACCAATTAAGTTCAAATTTGGTACGTTGGTTGAATAGGCAGTAAGACATATTTTGATGCTAAGTTTGGTTCTCTATGTCATCTGGTTTGGAGCTGGGGTGGTGGGGTAGATTCCTTAACTTTATATAAGAGTGAATCGGCAAAGAGAGATAACTGCTGAGAATGTTCCTATTGTAAACTATGAAAGGCTGCAATGAGTCTCTTGGGATTAATTAACTTTTCTCTTGAAGAAAATCCAAAACATTTATCTTTATCTGTCACATTGAGATTAATTAACACCTCTGTCTGCAAATGAAGTTTCTTTTGAAGTTAAGGTCAATTCTGAATGATGTTTACATTCTCTGATATGTGGATTTAAATAATGTTCATACTTTATTTTGGTAAAATACACAATGAGTTATTTATGATTTTGTTGAATTCTAAAAACAAGATATAGATAAAGATATCTTTTTTATAATTATTTTCTTTTTTTTCTTTCTTTTTTCTGCCTTATGTAAATTCAAGAATACTATTTATTTTAAGAGGTAATCAGATAATAACCTCATTCTATCATTGCTGAAAAAGTTCTTGTAAATTTAGAAGAAAAGGTTGAGAGAGCAGTATAATTAATCCCTTGGGATTAATTATCTTGCTGGTCGCAGAAAATTTTAGAGGGTTGTATTTCTGTCACTTTAAGATTAATTAACACATTTGTCTGCAACTGATGTTTGTTTTGAAGTTAAGGTCAAGCCTGGGTGATATTTGCATTCACTGAAGACTGGCATTTTAGAAAACACATGCTTCATTCTTCTTTAGATATACATTTAACTGAGTCATTATAGATATGATGTTTTTACTGCCTTATGTAAATACAAGGATACTATTTACAGGTTGTTGGATATTTAGCAGTTGCTGTTGCTCATTCTTCTTTATATATTTTTAAATTTTTGTAATCAAGTAAAATTCTCATCCCGTAATCTGCACCCTTATATTTCTACCCCTCAGCAGGGCCCTTGCTGACTGGTCAGATTTCTAGTCTCTCCTATCAAAGGGTCAGTGTACCTTAAAGCTATCATCCAATTTCATGTATATATTATATTTTTTGCATCTCTCAGGAAATAGAACACTATATTGTCTATGCAATTAATGTTCACAGTCTGCATTTTTGTGCCACAGTGTAAATATTTATGAAGTTCTTTGTACAAATTTTCATCATGTTATGTTAAAGAGAAAATGTTTTTAACACAAAAAGGGATGATGGAGGAAGGGGGGGGGGGTGATCATGATTGTGCTCCTTTTTTTCGAGATAGATATTACATGCTGTGATGATGGATTTTCATGTGGTTTGAGATTATAACTAGAAATATTAAGTTCAAATCTCATAAATTAAATCTTGAAATGAAAATTTAATGTTTTTTTAACGATTACTCTGTTTGTCCCATTGACCAAACAGGTGATTATACAAACTCATGGTTAGGGGTGCCTCTTATCAAATTTTCCTTTTGCTAGTTTAATGTATCAACAAAAAGAAAGAGTGAGAAATGATTCTCATTTAAACACGGTGAAGTATACATTTACAAATGTTTTGTAGCAAGCAGATCAAAATGTATATTCATTTTTTGTTTGAAAGGAAGGGGGTGAAATGAGATGGTGCTTATTATTTTTTGGTCAAAGATGAAAGGAATTGGGGTTTGACACTTATTTGGATAGATCTGCAATTTGAAATTGAATTTGACATTATTAACCTCAATAAATTTTCTTTATGTGCTTATTTGTATATTATTTACACAATTTTGAAGACTTTTTTTATTAAACTTTTTCATAATTTATTTCTTTGAAATTTTTATTCTTATACAGACAAGGTAATTTTTAAGTTTTTTATTGTGTCACAAACAGTATGGTATGCATGTCGGGTATCTTGCAATTGTACACTAACCAAGAGGAGGAGAAGGCTTAGTTTATTGTTCTATGTTTGTACATGTTTTATATATAAAAAAAGGGTTCTTGTGCTCATATTTTTATACAGGTTTCTGTATATTGTGTGTTGTCTATTTTGTCAATGAAATGATTGAAAAAGCTGAGAAGCAAATGCCAAGCTTTTTAAGTATTTAAGATGTTTTATATGCAGAGACTGAATGTTTTACAGGTGCATTGCATTTATACAATTTTAAGATGAAGTTTTATTGTTTTTTGTTTTGTTTTGTTTTGTTTTTTTTGGTTAGAAATTAGTTTTATTTATCTTCTGTTTTCATTCTTTTCTTGTAATTTTTCTTTAAAAATGAAATGAAGTGAAAATTCTCATTTAAGATAAATACATTTATTCAAACCTCATGTTTTAAAGGTACTGTTTATTGTTTATTATTAAAATTTATATTATTTCAAGAAAACTCAATTTGAAGATTATGGAACTTATATCCTGTGGAAATGAAAGAAAAAAAAATTATATTATTTATGTGGAGAATCAATTTCTTGTTTACAGGAACATCTTTATAATGTGTAAATGCAATGCATAAGCTTTTTACTATATGTATTATAAATTACATATTCAATGTATCGTGGTGCCATTCAACATGCCATATTGAGAGATTTCCAAACCTTTTGTATTTTTATATTTTGTCATTTCCAGTATTATAAAATACAGTTTGTATTACAAATACAAGTTTTCACTATTACCATATTTTAAAAGTACCATGTAACTATATTTCCTGGTATTCATCCACCTTTTCCAGGTTTTTATTATACATAGATACAGTATTATTATACACATAAATTCAATAAAACTGTTACATAGGTTTCTGTCTTTGCTTATGGTTAGCAGATAACTAATTTGTTTTGGGTTTTTTTTTTTTGAAAATGTAAAAATATTTCAAGAGTATGTATATTTGTACAGTTCTACCCGTAAATTCAGAACATCACCATCAATTCATTATTTGGGCGTTTGATTCAGCATGAAAAATATGTTTCAATGTGCCTGTAGAAGCTTTGTATTTATAAACACCATTTACTTGCTTATGTTCATAGGTAGATTTAAATGGCTGCTCAACAAAATAAAAAATTTCCTGTTCCTTACATTTTACAATCGAGGGTAAGTTATCAGATTTAGTTTTAGATGAGGGCCATGAATGGTTGGAGGGCCATGCCATGAATGGTTGGGGGAGACAACTCAGTAATTTAGTTTTAAAGGTGTATGGGTCAAGAATTTTAGTATTGTTTTTTTTTTTCATTTTCGGTATTTTTTTTTTCTTGGAATGAGAATGCTTGCCAAGTCAACAACTGATCCTACATGTTTGTCAGCACTTTGGTTAATTTAGACTTTTCTGTAGATGACTAGCATCCCAAAGCACAAAACTTTCAAATGTAAACATTCTACTATCATTATGATTACTAATATCTAAAAGTATGACTCCTATCAACTTAACAGTGGTTCACGTCTTCTGGGGGTGGGGGATGGTCCAATGTTATTTTCTTAGTTAGTTTAGGATGTACATTTGATAACTCAGCAAATACCAGGGGTGGGGGGTGTGGTGTCCCCCTCGATCTGTGCATGTTTTAGAATGCTATTTTCGCTTAATTTTTCCGAAGGGGGTGTCATTACACTCAACATTCCCCTGCTTCCTTTAGTCTTCCTGCTCAAAATTTGGGAAAAAATGAAAATTTCAGCAAGTGGTTAGATTATTAAATAATAAAATTAAAAAAGAAAAAGAAAAAATAAAAGAAAGAGAGAGAGAGAATATTCTACTTCGTCAACAGCAGCTAGAACTTAAATTACTAATAATTAAAAAGATTTTCTTACAATATCCATCGTGTATCCTCTCTAGGCATGTACCGGTACTTCTTCTTCATTTGTTCTCATTTTTAAATATTTCTCGTTACTTTCTTTTCAGACAGAATATTAATATGTACATTTCTTCAAACTATTATGAGAATTATATAAAAGCATATATGTAACTCCAGTACATATATATTAGAAATATATTATTTAATTATCAGTAATTGACCTTGTTCCTTATGTAAGAAATGAACTTTCATCAGCATATAGTTCGGTCCAATTTTGCAGCATAAAATGTTTTTTTTTAATTAAATAAACACTTCCAGCTTTATAAATATGGGTCGTCGTTTATCACACACAATTTTTTTTTATATACATGTAGTTTGTCTCCATTTTTTTTTGACTCTGCAGGGAAATTGCCCCTTAAAATATCCACACATTTAAAAAAAAAAAACAAAAAAACACCGGATACTAGTATCCCTGCCAGGTGACTTTTAATTGCCTGTTAATGGTACAAACTTTGACGGTTTAATTGATATTTAAAAAGGAAAGATTACTATGAAATTACAATTTAGTTTTCTGTACTTTGAAGGTTATGTCAAAAGATAATTATTCTTTAAGAGCCCTCTATACACGGCACACTAAAGAGTTCTGATTTTGTGGTATTTTTTGCAGATAGAGTTATCTGCCCTTTGATTAAGAATAATATAAATTGAAATGTACAGTTTATTACTTAATTTGTGATCAAATCAAGCATTTATAACAATTTACTAGGCCAAGATGAATATATACTGAACACTTCATTTGCAGGTATTTTGCCGACTTAAGTAGACAACAATAATTTCTGTTCATCAGTACTTCATTGTCTTTGAACATTTTTCATGGGGGTAAATGCAAGGTACCCTATTTTGAAAATGTGATAGATAAGCTCAATATTTAAACCTTAACAAACTATAATTTTCTCAGTGTCAAAAATATTTTCCTCTGGTGTATAGAGGGTCCTTAATACATCCTTAGAACGCTGAAGGTTCAATAATTGTTTTAAAAATATTTTAAATTTGTAATCAAAAGTTTCGTGCTTAACCCTTTTAATTCTTGCAATCCCATCATCTCATGTGAATCTAAAGTCCAAATTTTATTCTTCTGAAAAAGCATTGATAATTTGAGACCAAATTCAAATACATCTAGTTTTATCCCAACGGAGTTATATTCGTCAGGCAAACTGCATTTTCTGGAGTTTTTGGACTATAGATCTTTCTAAACAATTAACCTTCAGCAATTTATAAGTATAAGCAACTCTTCCATAAAATGCATTGTGCCAGTTCATCATGTTCATCTAAGTTAAAGCAAAAACTATACATGTAGCTGAAAACACAATGTTCAATCAAGTGACTTGAGTCGCTGAGAAATTGTACCATACCCACGAAACTCAAAAATGGCTTATAGATACACAGCCAAAGTTCATCAAATATCTCAAGGTTTAAGCAAAACAATTTCTAGAAAAAAAAGTGAGAAACGAACGGATAGATGACGGAAGAATGTATTCTTTACTTGTGGACATTTTATACTCGTGTCTCATTTTTTATGCCGGTAGCTTGACTTCGTATATGAAGAACAAAAACCATTAAAACTTTGTAAAATGTACATGACTTGACAGGATTTTAATGCATTTGTTGTATGGGTGCGGGTGAATGCATGATTCTGCATGTTTGTCAAATTCGGAAATACAAATGCTACAATTGTATTATATTATGTACAGATTTTTATTGAGTTTAATTTGTTCCACTTCTTTTGAAGTGAAATTAAATTGTTGTCCTCTGGGTCGAGGATTGTTTACAATGCCTTTTTAAAATGTTTATTTTATAAATTTATGCTAAAAAGTCTAACATTTCCAATATTTTAATGAGCTGTCAAAAAATCGATGTTGGACCGCTGAGTGAGATATTGGACCTGTCGATGAAATACTGGATCGCTATGACGTTTTTTTTTTTTACGTCACACTGTAGGCGGAATCAGCGCTATCACTAATTATCGCAAACATGGAAGCCAGCGCAAGATATGTCAAAATAAAAAAGTAAAAGGTATTGCAAAATATTTATTGACTGTGCTCTCGGGAAAAATGTGTTTTGTCTACCCCTCGAACCAAACTGTTTACCTGAGGCCTAACGGCTTCTGACAAACAGTTTGGTTCTTGTGTCCGACAAAACGCATGTTGCCAAAACCCAGTCAATAAATGTATAATGTTTCATAACAGAAGATAAATAATGTGTATTGTTATACCTTTAAAAATTGTTTCCTATATAAATTTATGCTAAAAAAAAAATCTGACATTTCCAGTGTTTTACTGAGCGGTCCATTGAAAATCGATGTTTGACCGCTGAGTGAGATATTGGACCTGTCGATGAGATATTGAACCGCTACGTCACACTGTGGGCGGGACCGAGTTTAACCGCAGTGCGGGTAAAGGAAATTTACATTATGGAAACCAGTACAAGATACATGTATGTAAATAAAATAAAAGCTATAACAAAATACTTATTGACTGCGTTCTCGTGCAAAATGCGTTTTTTCGACCCTCGAACCAAACTGTTTGCCTGAGGCCTAACGGCCTCAGGCAAACAGTTTGGTTCTTGGGTCCGACAAAACCTATGTTGCCCTCAAACCCAGTCAATAAATGTATAGTATTAAGCAATGAACCATGTACCAAAATTGAGCAATTCATGTCTATGGGCAGCGGAAAAGATATTTTTTTTTTTTAAAAATTATGACACGCGATTTTGTGTATCAGTTTTGAATTTGACGGGCTGTTTTGTCACTATTACAATTAAAAGAGTACCTTTGGACACTTAATTATTTCAAAATGCTATTGCGGAAATTATATGACACGTTATTCCTCCCTTTCTGTTTTGATTTTTTTGGGGGGTGGGGGTTACTTCATACAGAAAGTACATGTATTGTTAGCACCTACTTTAAATATAAACCTATAAAGCTACAGTTCTCATTAGAAACTTTGTAGAATGAACCATCGATTTCACAAAAATGAGCAAAATATATTTCTGCATCGAGAAAAATTGGATTTTTTTTATGGAATTTATGGTTTTAAGTTACTTTTACCTATTAAGTTTACTAATCGTAGTCAGTGGCTTCACGTTTAGTAGATAGGTTGAATCATCAAATGAATGATTTAGCTAATGGTTCGAAACCATAGAATTGATTAAGTGTGCTATACTGTAATTACGTAATATCAAAGACAGGAACTAAAGATTTCGAAGAAATTTCGGTTTATATTCTACTTTTAAAAATCTAATTTGAGAAGGGACCAAGTTTTCCAAAAAGGTTATTTGTTCATATTTATTGAAATTAGCTTGTCAGATAACGAGCTCCTACACGTCAAGATGAACGTAAGAAAAAAACTATGCCAGATTTAATCGTGTGTGTATACGTGCGAGAGCATTACACAACAACTTTTATTATTTTTATATTATTCTTAAAATTAGTTTATGATCTTCCAAGTCCTTTATTTAGACAAGGGATATATTACCAGCATCTAACATTCCAGTACAAAATAAAATACATGTATAAAAATATACGTATATATATATTTTGAGCAAGCATAATGGAAAAAATACATTATGAAATTGCTTGTTGTATTTAATTAATTTCTTCCGCTTTTATTTGCCTTTTTTTAAGTAATTAATTAAAATGTAGTTCAAATCCGTGTAACTAAACAGAATCATCCATTGATTTAAATTGAAGGTAAGCGGAGGAGGAAAAGGAAGCGGAAGGAAAAACGGGAAAGAAGGAGGAGGAGGAAGAAACAGCGACGTAACAAACATCATCTACGTTTAAAGGGGATACGAATAAAGTGGTGTTCCAAAAGACCCGGACTGAAAATGTGCAGAAATAATTTTTCAAAGAATTCTGTACCAAACAAAACGGACAAAAACAAATAATTTGTTTCAAATCTTTCAAGTCTTTTTTTTTTGGTAAAAGTTGCATCCGATTTTCTTTGTTGATCATCTACAGTAAAATGATTTGAAACATGTATATAGATGTTGGTGACTTTTTCAAAAAAAAAGTTTAAAAAGATGAATAAATAAAGGCAGTGTTTGGGAGCAGATCCGGATTGCGTTATACGTTGTAGTCCAGCTTTGATTTTCATGCAGAGAAGAAGGAAGATAGAAACATTTGTATGGACAGTACATGTACATGCATGTACTTTAGGATGTTACATTTTCAGATCTTTTAATAGGAAGAAAATAAGCAAATATTAGTGATCAGAAAATCAGAGTTGAACTGCCTGATGTTATCTCAGTCTGTACTGATGTCCAGTGATTAGAAAAATTCTCCAATATTAAAAGTTGTTCAAATATGTCGCATTTCCTTCAATTCTGTCATTTAAGATTCACAATTGTTCAATTATCTTCTGTTTTTATTCTAAACCCTCTTTCAAAAATATGAAGCTGTAACATAAGCAACAAAGTGTCAGTTTCACTTGTAGTATCCATTTAAGTTCAAATTACATGCAGTTCATTTCATTTTCCCTTGGCATTTTTTTTTTACTGGAATTAAAAATTCAACGTTTTTGTTATTTATTAATTATCATACTTTTGGTATTTTAAAAACACGATTTCCTAGCATATAAATTAATGATTAAATTCTGATATCTAATATTACCCCCCTCCTTAAAAGAGGGAGGGGGAGAACGAGATTCTTTACAGGTATATAAACAGGCAGAGGGTTTACATAGACATGGTATGCTAGGAATTCATTTTTTCCTTTAAATTATTTGTCTTTAAAAAAAATTTCAGTAGTGTGAGGGGTACACCATCCATACGTCAGAGCCTGAGGTATCTCCAAAGTCAAGAGTTTCTGATCAACTCCACACTCCACATAAAGGGCAACACAAAGGCCGGGCTAGATAAATCTAAATTGTACGTTTGTTTTGTTGATTTCTCTCAGGCTTTCGACAATGTTTTACACCCTACTCTGTTATATATACACTACAATAACTTAACATTCAAGGATGTTTCTATAGAATTATCAAAAACATGTATATGGAAAATTTTGCGTCTGTAAGACTTCATAATAAACTTACTGAATCATTTACACCAAAAGTAGGAGTCAGACAAGGGAATAATCTAAGTTCAAATCTATTGTATGCTGATGACTTATTATTAATTTCTAATACTGAAGATGGTCTCCAGCAATGTACAGTGTATTAATAAAATGGGTGATAACTGTGATAAATGATGCTTAACTGTCAATCTCAAGAAAACCAAAATTGTTATCTTTTGTGAAAATGGTAAGAAAACAGCCAAAAGAATGTACTTTTAAAAATCAAGTTATTGAAGAAGTAACATCATACAAATACTTAGGAATTGTGTTCAGTTCATCAGGTTCATTTACAAATTATCAATCTGATCTCTACAAGAGAACCCTGAAAGCTTACTTCAAACTACTTAAATGTTTTAGTAATATACAGCCCAAAGTGCACACACTTATACATTTATTTGATCATACCATAAATCCAGTTGTATTTTAAAATGTGCATGTGAAATATGGGGAACAATTAATACTGATGCTAATGCTGTCAAAAGCAAAATTTTTGCCTTGAAAACTTTTATAGTAAACAGGCCCGTAGGAAGCAATTTCAGTAGGGGGGGGGGGGGCACAGCCAAACATTTTTCAGTTGACAGTTGAGGGGGCACTACCAAAAATTTCCTGACAAGCAAAAAAAAAGAAAAAAAAGGTCATCAGATGTTTTTATTGAGGGGGAACAAGCATATAGTATCTATGTTTACTATAGTAATCTATATATCGGCAAAATTATTAGGGGGGGGGCACGCCCCCCCCCCCCGGTTCCTACGGCCATGGTAAGATATACTGTGAAAAAATTCATAAATTTTTTTAAAAATTTATTTGTGGTGTTCATAAGAAAGCTTCAAATAAGGCAATTGTTTGCGAACTCGGTCGTTTTCCTATGTATGTTGATATCGTTAAAAGCAAACTGAAATATTTTCAAAGGATAGCTAGTTCTGATGATAATTCACTACTTAAAAAAGCTATGTATGAATAAACATTTATTGACTTGGTTCGAGGGCAACATGCGTTTTGTCGGACCCAAGAACCAAACTGTTTGCCTGAGTCCGTTAGGCCGAAGGCAAACAGTTTGGTTCGAGGGGTCGACAAAAACGCATTTTGACCGAGAACACAGTCAATTAATGTTTTGTTAAACCTTTTACTTTTTATTTTGACATATCATGATTTAAATTTCGTTTACCCGCACTGCGGTTTAAACTTGGTCAACTTCTGTCGAACTCCACCAAATGCAAATAAGATATATATAGCTGACCCCGCCCACACTGTGACGTAAACGGTCCAATATCTCATCGACATGTCCAATATCTCACTCTGCGGTTAAACATAGATTTTTTTTATGACTGCTCAGTAAAACATAGAAAATTTGGTCTTTTTTAGTATAGAATTATGTAGAAAACAAATCTTAAAGGTATAACAAAACAATGTATTGTATGAAAACAACAAAATTAGCTGGAGCAGTGGTATTTATTTTTTCTTAGTAAACTAGATACAGTTGTATACAACATCTTGTACATAATAAAAATATTGTTTCAAAAGTTGCTAATAAGTTATGCGACAAATATAAAGCCACGTGGTGCAATACACTCTCAGAAAATGCAGAGAAGCAAGTTGGCAAGCTAAGATCATAATTATGCCCTCTTTAAATCAGGTATTTTTTTTTTGTTATAATCCTGATATTATGAATTGCTATGCCCTTATAAATATCTTTCTATATATTTATTAAATAAAAGGTCCAACATAGTGAATGTTTTTTCATCGGTCTAACAAGTTCATTGTTGACCGGTCTGTCAGTCCAACACAAGAATTGTTAGACCACAGAACGTCACTGCTGCGTCACAAGTAATTAGTCGTCGTTCAGTATATATAGGCGACAAGGAAATAGCCGAAGTTTCAAAAGTTACCGCGTATGCTATTTGAAAGATGGCGTCACGGGAAAAATAATGTTTTGTGATAAATAATTTCTGTATAAGGATAATTTAATGATTATTTTTTCATTCTTTGTTGTTTTTATTTAAAAAGCCAAAATATTACTTATAAAGAAATTGTTTAATTATATGAGTAAATCTGTTTAAAGGTTTTAATTTTAGTGTTTTATCTTAAGTGAAGGGTATAACAAAACAGTTATTGACTGGGTATGAGGGCAACATATGATTTGTTGGACCTGAAGGGGCCTCGGGCAACATTTTCACCTTCAGGTACAGCAAATCATATGTTGCCCTCATACCCAGTCAAAAACTGCATAATGTTTTACAATCAGAGTTGTAAATCAATTTATTAATTTAGAATCAGCTCACATCCTCTTGCTATTGAAACTGATCGGTATAAACAAACTCCTATTAATGAAAGAAAATGAAAGAAAATGTACTATCTGCAAGTCTGATTGTGTAGAAGATGAAATCCATTTTTTTATTTGATTGTTCAGCATATCAGGTCTTATGAAAACAATTCTCAGAGACTATGAATACTATCTGTAGGGATTTATCGAGTTTATCTAATAGAAACAAGTTTATATTGCTTATGAGTAATGAAAATTATAATGTTATCACAAATTTTTCATATTACATCTATAACTGTTTTAAAAGAAGAAAGGTTGATTCATCATAAGAAATAACAATAAACTAGTCTGTAGTACATGTATTATTATCGTATTAATATCATTACTATTATTTCATTTTTTTCTTCCTTTCATGTTAATTTGTATGAAAATTATGTGTATTCTTATCATCATAATTAATGTTAATTCATTAACCGTTCGACTATCATTTAAAAAATTTACTCTCTACTTTGTTACTTGTGCCTTTGTATGCCTTCTGGGCCCAAAATTGGAAATAAATACTTACTTACTTACTTAAAGGGCAGAGTGGATCAGCAACCCTTGAGTGATATTATTGCATATTATTTACCTTTATATACATATATACCTCGATCAATTAACAACATTGATGTACTTTTAATATTTATTTTTGTACTTTTCGGTTTCTTTGGGTCTTTCTTGGTAATTTGGATCGCCATAATTTAGTGTGCTAGTCCTTTCCAACTCAGTCTCCTAGACGCTTGATTTGCATGAACAAACTATTTCTATAAGCATCTGATTGATATTCAAAAAGGATACCAGTAAAGTTTCACTTTCACCTTATCCTGCATTTTCAGTTTGTCGTAAACTGAGGGCAGACAGAATCAGGGTTGACAGCTGGTTAAAGGGTTTTAAAGGGATAATTCTAGTAGTCGTGTTCATGATTTTGCAGCACAGAGATGTCTAATTTTGATGAAACAATATCCGAATCTCCAAGAAAAAGACAAAGACAGGTAGATGATTCACGTCAAGATCATGAAGATGATTTACCATTTAATCAGCAAATACCATCTAGAACAAGTGACTGGAGAGAAATTCATTTATCACGACTGAATATAGAAATTGACTGCTCCACTTTATCAGCCATTGGAGTTCTGACGTATGGATACACAGAATTTCTTAAAAACGATCCTGTCCACCCTGTTTCAGAGGTTGTTGAAAAACTATATGCATCCAGAAATCCACAGATACGAGCAAACTATGAATGTTGCATGTTTGCATGTATGGACTTTCTTACAATTGACAGTGACACTATATTTGATATATCATCTGAACACATTAAAAAGCTGATAATGGAAGTAGAAAAACCATTTAGACGCTCAAAATTTGGTAAATGGTTGGAATCATTTTTAGTAGGAAAAGGTGACATTATGAAAGACTACGTAATGGACACATGTAGAAGGTAAATTTTATAAGACTTTTGTCAAAGACAGTGCTAAAATTCTCTTATTTTTTTTTTCTGAACAACATATTTTCATATAGCATGAGAATATATTTATTAATTTCATAAAACTTTTGAACTTAAGTATTATGAACATCAATACATTGAATACCATGGATATGTCAAAGTGAGTATGAAGTCCAGATGACTTTTTAAATACATGTATATATTATAAAGTGTAACCTCAGTATTTTGAATATTTGGAAGTTTGTACTGGGCCCCATGGAGGTCAAGACAACAAGGTTTGAATGTGTCATTATTAATGGATGCTTTTTTTTATTGCAGCATTCACATAAGAGTAAAGGATTTTTGTGACCAGTTATTATATATGGTAGAGTGTGGTGAAATTGAGACAAGAGATGAAATGTATAGGGAACTTTTTATGTTGTTTCTAAGAATTTTTGACATAAAAATGAGGTAAGTTTTCTCTCTCCTTTTTTTCATTAAAATGCAAGATAAACAGAATGATTTTTTAAAAAAGTTTTTAATGTTGATGCATTATATTCTTGTAAATACCATCAAATATGCCTGTTAATATATATTTTAAACAATTGAAACTCATCTTATATTTTGAAAACTTTTTTCCAGGCAATGTGCAAACTACAAAAAAACAACTTCAGTTGTAGCTATTGGTGAAAAGACCATTATTTCAATTCCAGATGCTCTTATTTGCAAAACTACCAAGACATCCCCTTCAAGTGAAAAAGTACTGGCTGTAATTGAGGCAAGTTGTAAACAGTAATTTATAACATTATTCAATACACTTGTCCAAAAGAAATTGTTTTTTCAATTGTTTAGTTAAAAAAAATCTTGTTTAGAAATACTTATAGCTTTTTTCTTTAATTTCACATCAACCGAATAAATTATTATTATTCATGTATTTAATTTAGGTAAAAAAATATGGCAAGACTTATGACAGAAAATTAAGTGAAAATTTACACAATACTGAGAAAGGAAAAGCACATGATCCAATTGGCTCAAATTTGAAGGGAAAGCATGTGGGGGATATGGTAGCAGCATTACCTGAGTCAGTTTTTGGTCTAAATGGTATATATGGAATAATTGTTCAAGGAACTGAGGTATGATATTAATTCAGCTATAGTTTTGCCCTACATGAAAAAATATGTATAGTATATTCATATGAAATTCAGTCAAGTCTTTTTATCTCAAACATTAAAGAACTGTCAAAATCTTCGAGATATGAAAGCGTTTGAATTATCATGACATTAGTCAAATTTGTAAGACCAGGAGTTTCAACTAATTTCAACATATACTTGGTATATTTGACATAACAATGTTCAAGAAACATAGGTTGGACTGTATGTATCATACATGTATTTTCTCCCTGGAAAAATCATAAAATTAGTTAGTTTAGTGGTCAAAGTGAATTTGTGACAAAATAAAAGAATTAAATTTTTAAAAGTAAAAATGTGTGCATGTATTTTGCAAGATATCAAGTCTTGAATTTTTTTTTCTTTGAATTCATCAAGCTATGTCATACATATTTGAAATTTAGTGTTTGGAATCAAGTAATGCTAGATTTAGTCTCACACTTTGAAACCACTAGCTGCTGTTCAGAATTTCTCACCAAATAAATTGATTTTGTTTTCACTTTAATGTTATATTTTTTTTTAGGTAACCCTTTCTTCAATGGCTGTAGGAGAGAACTGGTTTGAACACGTAACAAGTGGATCCTTGCACAGTACACCAGTTATTGTAAAACACAGTAGTCCGTACAACATCCTCAGACAAAGGGACAGGGAAAATCTCATTCAGACATTTGTTGACATGAAATCACTGCTTGATCATTTAGTGTAACCCACATAAGATTTCAGGGGCAGAGTTTGAAGAGTTTAATTTAATATAGGTTAAAAGAACAATGTAAGTCCTGCGATGGAGTTCATACATCTTGTGTGTTATCTGTAATGCTGTCTCTAGAACACAATTTGACTGTCATGTTTAAATAAACAATAATTTTGTTTGTTTGTTTGTTGTTTTTCACTCATTTTTCACTCATATGGAGATGCCACCACTTGCCGGTGGAGGGCTGCAAATTTATACCTATCCTCGCCACTCAGGGCCATTGAGCAGTGAGGGATCATTTTTGTTTTTGGTTTATACAGTCTCATTCGAAGGACTGGTCTCCCGCAGTGGATTCGAACCCGCAACGTAATTAGGATCAGCTCCTTACTCCTCACTCCGTGACTCTAGAGCAGACGCTCTAACCATGCACTGCGCCACGCGGGTGGCCAAACAATAGATAAAACATTGTTCAGTTTACATTTTATTTACTAAAATTCTGTTCCAGCATTTCTGTATGCAAAGTATAGCACTAGGATCTGTTTAAGCTGTGTTGTATAAACTCTCCTGTTGGTGTCATTATATACCACTCTGAAAACAGATGTTCAATACTAACAAAATTAATTGCTTTTAGAATGTTTTTTTCAAGTTTAATTTCAACATTTCAGTGCCCAGTGACCTTATTTTTTGATATATGACATAATGTAAGAGCCATGCCACACCTTTTTAGGTCATCAACAACATCATATTTTTGAGTTCATTTCAATCAAGAGTTGTGGCTTGGGCACTATGAATTTATATCTTTGACACACCAAATTCACAAAACTAAGCAAGAATTAAATTTCCGTTTGATAAAATTTAGTTTATCAACTTTAAACTATAATTTCATGTATATTATAATTTATACAGTTTGTAAATTATAGTTCAGAGCTTTTAAATATGAGTTATAGAGCTTGAGAGCTGTTAACTATAATTTTTATTTTGAATACGTGCAGATTTTACGTCAATTTAAAAAAAATGAATGAAACATTGAAGTTGATGAAATAGCTTTAATATCAATTGAAAACTAAATTTTACGAAGGATGACTAGGGTTTGCCGTAACTAAGATTAATGGATGAATCTTCTTAAAGTAAAGAGTCGTAACCAATACAAAATCAAATTTATTGTCACTAAGCTGGTTTTTTTTTTTCTTTTTTTTCTTTCGTAAAACAATGTTTATTATTTTTTGAGAAATCTAAGCCTTATAAATTCGTAATAACTTTAATTAAAATACGCATAACTATTACGTTGCTAACCATAAATTTAAACAGTGTCTTACACTTATACATTATAGCTTTCCAGGGGCGGATTCAGCAATTTTTGAAAGGGGAAGGTTCCAGGGTTGTGCCCCTACCCCTACACACACTCAAACATAGATTCACACACACGGGGAAGGAATCACCTGAGGCGGCGGTATATAATATCTTTGTTTTACGTCCTTTAATTCTTTGATAAGGTACCCTCCACAAACACATTCCAAAAACTACTGTACCCTTGAAATTGAATGGATTTGCAATATCTCCAAATATACAGAGAAAAACTGTTGAGAGTTTGACAAACTTGTGTTTGCTTTTTTAACTGGATTTTCTTGAAAATTTACCCGCCAGGAAACGTAAAACAAAGAATTACTAGTAATTCAGTAATTCACTGTGGCCTTATGCATACTCCCTTTAAGTAAGTCCTTCAAAAGATGATCTGAAAATGGCACATAGCCAAAGATCGCCCTAATCTGATATCAAATTGAACCTCGCATGTTACTTAATTATCATATATTGAAATAAGTAGAATATTTTCTACCATTCACCCATAAAAAAAAAACTGAAAGGTAGGAATAGTGAAGGTAAATGGCGGAAAGGAAATATGTGAGACTCTGTCGATCTCTAGCAAGTGGAATATGAGCAGAGATTGCGGCCGATCGAGCTGTTTTGAGCTACGTTTTTATTCAGAACGTTGAAATTTGTTATCTCGAACATTGATATCTCGAATACCATGGATATGTCGTAGCCAATTGGAATTCCGTACCACTTATTCTTTAAGAATTTAACCCTTGATATCCCGAATACTCGGATATTTCGATTTTTTTCTCTGTCCTATCGAGTTCGAGATAACGAGGTTTGACTGCATTCAGAAAACATGTTTTATCCTTCCCCTCTCTACCATTCACTCATACATAAAAACGCTGAAAGGGAGGGATAGTGAAGGTAATCGGAGCAAAGGAAATATGTGAGACAATATGTTTAGCATGTGGAATACGTGTATGAGCAATTTCGGCTGATCGAACTGATTTGAACTACTTCTATATTCAAAACTTACTAAACGTAAGTATCTATTCCAAAAAACAAAAAATGTTTTATCCTCTCTCTCTCTCTCTCCACTTGGCAAAAAATAAAGGGGAAGTCCAACCCCTGGAAAACCCCCTCAAGTCACAAACATGGATACCATAACATTTTGCACCTACTACACATATTTTCAATATCAAAAATTCAAATTATGATAACGACAATCAAATTCAAAGGGAACTGTTGGGGTCAACATACTGTAGAACCCATTTTAATACTAGAAGCACATCCTCATGATGAAAATTTGGGACATCCTTTCTAAATTACCGGTATATCAAAGAACACTGGCTGCTCATCATATAACTGATTATTTACAAAAAAGAACAAAATGTATAACATCATTCAATCTGGCAAAGTCAAGTATCAATGAAGCTGCCTCTCTCTCTCTATATATAGCTATTTTTCTTTTTGACATTGATGGAATTATTTACTTTTCTTAGCAAAATAGATTAGCATTTTTTGTTTATCATTCTAAAAGAAAAGATTTAGCTTCAATAACAGCTGTATCATTCACTTGGAAATGAAAATAAGCTTAAACAGTTGAGTTTTACTCATTTTGTAGATTTCAACTATTCTAACTCAATACCAGTTATTCAACTGTAGTGGATATTAAAACCACTTACTATAGTATTCATCGTGGTAATACATTAATTTCAGAGATAAGTCTGTTTGCCGATTCCTCCATCTAATCCGTCCCATACATGTACGTGTTTACTTACTTGTCCGGATTACATGTTATATTTCTCTCCGCCTGACAATGCCCGGATCTGAAGGGGGATCAGGGGGATCCACCCCTGGGATCTCCAGAGTTATTAAATTTCTAGATAAAAGTAATGAAAAAAAATGACCTCCAGGAAACAAGGATCCTTCGTAAAATGGTAAGGAGATTAATGTACCCCCCCCCCCTTCGAAATAGGGTTTTCAGGTTTGGACAGTTGTTGTTTAGGGTATTCCCCCCCCCCCCCAAAAAAAATCCAAGTCTGACATTTGTTAGAGTTGATGTTGACCTCCCCAAGCCTTCATCCAAATCTGGTTTATACTTCACCTATAGACATGACAGAATGTCCTTGGGTGAAGGATATATATAGTGACCCTCTTCCATTTTTTTTTTCATAAAAGAGAATCTGACACCAATGTAAAATAATTGTAAGGAGTGCATTTTCTCTTTCATTGGCCCAATCTGGTTAATACTTCACCTAGTGAGTTCCCTTGGGTAAAGAGTGTTACATGAACTTGAACCAAGTTTTAGGTCAGAAGTCAAGGTACAAGAATTTTTTTTTCATGTAAAAAATATTTTTTCTGACATTAGACTACTCATATTCCATAGTGGACTTAATCAAAGTTTTACAGGTCAAACGTCAAGGTCATAACAAGCAAGCATCCTTGGTTGAGTGTGTGCAGTGACCTTCCCAAGTTTCTACTGTGTGCCTACGAGAAAGAGATAGAGAAACACGAAGACAGAAAAAGAAGAAGAAAGAACAACAAATAAGTACAAACATAAATAAATAACCCCCTTCCTTCTCCTTGCAAATGGTCGATGTCAAGCAAACGCAATTTCTCGGGCTTTTCCGACAAGTTCGGATTTTTCCCGCTCGCCGAAAGGTCTTCCATATGTTTGGTGTTTCGACCATTTGTTTTTCAGCAAGGTTTACAAGACAAATTATTGAAATTATACACATTTTTTGAGATTATCCATCATGCAGTTCGACTTTTTTTTTCATTAGCACTTTTTGTCGAAAATTGTAAAGATTATCGTTTGTGATTGACATCAAGAAAAATCGGAAGTATCAAGATTACAAATAAAGTAATGTTGTAAACTATGCATAAAAGTTATGGAATGTTGATGAAGTCCAGGGCATGAAAACATATATATTCTTCATTCACCAGGTGTTCAAAATAAAAAGCGATCCCTCCTCTGTATTTGAGCTATGCAGGTGTTTGTAGATCTTCTGACATGTGGGTAAGGGGGGTTATGTACGATTCTGCTGATTCGTTTCTACAAACAGTTGATAGATGCCAATGTTTTATTAGGCTTGTTCATCGCCTGGAAATGTTTTGTCTTTCTGTCATGTTTTCGCTAATTTACTGAGTTTGCGATCTGGAAACTCGTAACATTCAGAAGCTAGAGCTGATAACACGTATCGACCACTTTGACTATAGCCAGGTAAAAGATATATGTAACATAGACGGGTACAAGACTTCTTCGAGCAGCCAATACAATCACATGATGAGCTCAGTACGTTTCAAGAGGAGGATGTTGTATTAGACAACTGGAGCTATAATTTCTCGAATTATTGTTTCTGTTTGGAGATTTTTGTGTGAAGTATGAATACTCTTTATCATAGTTCTGCAAGCAAATAAGTACTTTATGTTTTAGCACCTTAACCCTCTTCGTTTCATGCAGTGTAATTGCTTTTCTCCTTTCTCCACTACTCGAATCATTTTTATCGTTTTTGACCATTTGAATTGACCCACGAATGAACCCACAATATGAATATTTATATATACGTTAATGAATTAAGAGCAGCATGCATGTACAATTTTTAGTAGCCATATTCATGTACAAGGACAGTGTTTTATCCCCACGCCTGCATAAGGAAATGTCTTATACAACCCGAACATGAACACACACGTCCACAAATTGACTGAATACAAAATAGCATTTTATTGTTGAGAAATTTCTTAATTATGGCTTTTATCAAGGCGTGTAATTAGCCAGACAGGAGGTTTCTGGACAGGGAAACAGAGTTCAATATTTTAGCCAATAAATAAATTCTGCCGTTTTATAGGACCTTCGAGTAATA